TCTGTAAGAACATACTATTTGCATTCGGATGGTGTTGTTGCTATTCTACGCTTGAGCCCCGTGGTATGGAATGGGTAATGGGTATATACCGTGTTGGGACGGAGTCGTTCCGAGATGGAGGAACGAAAATGGGAGATTCGTCCCCCATATGAGTGTCCGCATCTCCTGCGAGTATCATAGAATCATGTACAACAAATATTACTGTCTTCCTACTAGGGTTCGATATTACTGATAGAGTGGTGCGATACGTCCAAGGTGAGGGAACCGCTGTGCATATCATTGCTACCGTTCCCCGAACTGCGGTATTCGCATTAAAACGCCCGTGGGTACTATTTCTCCCAACCTTCCGAGACACCTGGGTATTTACACTAATAATTAACAGTTCCCATGTTCGCCTCTATCGTGTATCCGTCTGCTCCTGTGCAACTCTTAGACAGCCCTCGGCCACGCGGCATGCGAGCCATGCGTCTATCACCACAGGCCAAAGTCTAGAAGAACGAATCCGCACAACGCAAGAGTATTCGCTGGCTGAAATGAAAAGGAGGAGGAATGGAAAGAAAGAAAAATAAAAAAAGAGGACCAATCGCCTTGAGAGAGAGTAGCAGTTCAAATTTTAGACCGCACGGCCTCGAGGCGATATTTGACGTCTTTCAACGCCTTGGTAACAGGCTTCCACACGTCAAACTGGCGCAGCAGCTCGTCCGCCTCCGAGGAAAGCTCCGTCTTGACGAAGTCTTCTTCGAGCAGGCCGCGCATGATCCAGGGGAGGTGGTACGGGTTCGGGTTGGCGAGGCTCGCGCCAACGTTGCCGGCGGCTCCTTCGGGACGGGGCGGACGGTGGTGGCGGATGTGGCACTGCCTGTTCGGGGCGTGCGGGGGGATGTCGGTCGTCTCGAGGGCGTGGGCCACGGCGAGGTCGTATACCTGGTCGTCCCAGTAGAGGCGGGAGTGGCCTTCCCCCGAGTAGAGGGACCCGGCGAGAGGGGTGGAGAGCTCGCGGATGAGACCGTGGTCGGAGATGCCAAGGTTGCGAAGTTTGAGGGCAAAGCCTACGAGGTGTGCGATGCTGTGGACGGTTAGATGGTGTAACCAATTGAGGTGGCGATGAGGCTACTGAAAGAGAATAGGTGGAAATAACGGAAGAAGGGAAGAGCAGAAGACGCTCACAAGTCTGGCGCATGGATTCGTCCATCTATGAAGACGGCCCGATAGATGTATGGGTGAGAAGCGGGTGAATATATGGCCGACTGGAAGACTGTCAATAACCCAATTCATGACACAAAGGGGAGATGGCAGTGTCCGGGTGCTCTACCTCTAGCGGCACGAGTTGGTCGTCGATGCTACCGATGTAGGTCATCCGAACGCCGTATTCCAGAACCTCTTTCAGAGCCACTTCATATCGCTTAGACACTTCACTTTCGGGGTTCGAGAATTGCCACAACTCGGCCGCGTTCCCCATCAACATGGCCATGCTGGATTTGTAGTCTGGGAAGGGCCCAAGTGAAACGCCGGCTAAGTCGTTGAAAGTTAGTAGATAGGCTACAAGTCCAGACTGGAAGACTCCGGAGACTGCGTCGGACTCACCCATTGCACAAACTCCAATTCTGGCGTCGGTGATGATGCCCAGGTCGATCAGCTTCGCCAACAAGATGACGGCAACGGGCACGCCCTGCGAATGGCAGGCCAGTATGATCAGGTCGGCGCCCCGGATGTGGTCGATCCAGTTCAGGAGCAGCTTCCACAGATTGTCCACCCTGTCTGCGATCTTGCCCTCGCCTTCTAGCGCGACCTTTTCGATCTCACAGTCGGCGCATCCGTGGCCATCGACCCATCTCCTGATGCTCTCGGCACATTGGTTGGCCAGACGAATCGACGTTCCCGTCGGCTGCCCGATCATGGGCCTGAGGTAGGAAGCGGGAAACAGGCCGTGGACACCGATGGCTATGGCCTTCTTGATCTTGGGCGGATCCTTGACCCTGAACACGTGGTTCGTGGGTGGCTGCTGGGTCCGAAGTAAAAACTGGCCGATTTGCTTGATGATGGACGGGTTGTCTTTCATGCGATAGGTGCTACTAAAGGATGGAAGCAGGAGATTGGGAGGGAGAGTTTTGGCCGGGCTCTCCGAAGCCGAAATGGATTGCTGTTTCTTCTTGGCGCTGGCTTGCGTAGAGTCGACGGCAGACGTTTTCGACGGGGCCGCAGGCTGAGGCGCTGTTGACGTAGAGGCACCTGAACGTACGGAGGCGGCATCGTCGAGGTCCATGGACTCGGGGCGAATCCTCTTCGCCTTCTTTCCCGTCACGGACTTTTGTTTGGTGTTTACTTCCTTCTGGGTATCGAGACATTGGGCGCCGGTGACCTCCATGCCGCAAGCTGGCTCAGGCTTGGCTTCTGAGCCTTGCCCAATGACGGCAAGCTCTCCGGATTCCGAATGCGACTGTGGCTTTCGAGAAGCGGGCTCGGTGCCGCGTTTGGACCGCATATCTCGGGACCAGAAGGCCCAGGTAGAGCCGGCAGAAGGCGCAGGTGACTGTGGTGACTCGGATGTCGGTGGTGGTGGTGGAGGGGCATCGGGCATCGGGGTGTCATGAGACTCTGCTGTACTCTGGGATTCGTTCGGCAGGGAGGGCATCGAGGGTTCGTCTTGCGTGCTGGATGCCGGTTTGGGAGTCGTCGCCCAAAAGCTTAACCAGCCCGATGGCGCAGTAGCAGCAGGTGGTGGTTGGGATTCTTCTGCCTTTGCTGTCGGTGTCTCGGGAACTGGATTACTAGAGGTTTCGGCTCTCGTTTCGTCCCCGGTTTTCTGCTGATTCTGCTGCTCGTCCTGTTGCTGTTGCTTGTCCTGTTGCTGTTGCTCGTCCTGTTGCTGTTGCTTGTCCTGTTGCTGTTGCTCGTCTTGTTGCTGTTGCTTGTCCTGCTGCTCCTCAACCAGTGTCTGTGACGGAGATTCTGTCGAATGACCAAGCATGGAATCTACTGCCGTGGACCGCGCCAGCCAACCAAACCAACCCGAAGACACGGCTGGGCCCTGCGGGGACACTGGCTGTTGTGCAAGGGGATGGTCTTTGGCCGAAGTGTCGTCGTCGTTGGTTGAAATGGCTTGCTGGTGGTTGTCTGCCGGTTCGCCCTCCGTATCCGGTTCTTTGGCAGTTATTGAACCAGAACTGTGCTGTGATGCTTCCGAAGCTTGGAGAGTGCTTTCGCCGTCATCGGGTAGGGTGGCCGGTTCGTCGTCTGCATCTTCGGGGGGGTGGACGGGATCGCTGGTCTTCTTCGGTTCATACTTCCGCAGGTCGGGTGTCGTGGGAGGTTTCACGGTACCCCCGTGTATGGTCTCGCGAGCGATCTGGGGAGTCGAGGCGGATGACTTGTTGGGAGTTCTGGGCCATGACCCATACCAGCTCTTGGTCTTATGGACCTGAAAATCACAGAGTCAGGGTAAGCTACGCCCTCGTCTCGTCTGGCTGGTGCCTGTTAGGGGGGGGGAAGATAGAATGGCGTACTTGTTTTTGGGTATCGGATGGGCAGCTCGGGTCAATGTCGTTTCTGCACCGATTCTTCGGCGCCATACCGCCTCCCACATCTGCTGGTTCGGGTTCTGGGGCGGGTGCAAGTGCAGGTGCAAGTACAGGGGCGGGTGCGGGTGCGGGTGCGGATGCTGGGGTTGACGCTGCTTCGAGTGTTGAGGACGTCGGAGTCGGAGTCGGTGACGTAGTTTCTGTTGAGGGGTTCGTGGACTCTGGGTTGGGTCTTGTACGCTTTCTCGGAGCCATGGCTGTATGTGAGGAGGTGATGAGGGTAGGAAAGGAAGGGTTTCCAAGAAGGGACTGTTAGCTGATATGTCCACCTGGCCTCTTCATACCTCAGGTTGACGCAGTTCAGGGCGAAAGAGTAAGGGAAGGTAGGTAGAAAGAGTACTTCGTAGGCAGGAAAGTTGTTGGGACACGACGTGTGGGTGGTCATTGTTTATTACTGGCTGCCTTGTACGACGTATCGATAACGTATTTTGTACTTGTTGAGCGTACCTGAGGTATCGTGGTACCTTTGTTGGACGGTGCTAAGCATGACGGAAGGTACCGGAACTGGAACCTGGGCGGCTAAGGCACCTTACTAAGGCACCTTGCTTTAAGGCCTTATCTTTATCATATCTTATCGTTATCGTTATCTGCCGCAACCCGCATCCATTCTCGACCGAGAAAAAAATTCGAGAGGGCAGCTCAGGAGGAAGGACTGCTTTTGCTTTTGCTTTCGCATTGACAGCTTCATACCTACCTACACCCACACCACACCACGACTTGGTCATCCACTTGGGACAGGAACCCTTCCGAACCATTGTGGTGTACCAAATACCAAGGACCAGTCAATACAATGGGCTCTCTTAAAAGAAAAGAAGCCCCGGGCGGCGATAATCCGCCCAAAAAAGCAAAGCCTTCCAAAGACACCCGGCCGTCGAAACGAGATGCGACCAAGGAAGACGCTGCCACCCGCAACGGCGTCGATACCAAGAAGAGGAAGACTGACACGGTTGCCGTTACCACCGCACCTAAGACTGTCGTTTCCCTTCTAAAGGATGAAGAACCTCTGTTCCCCCGTGGCGGCGCCAGTGTCCTTACGCCGCTGGAACACAAACAAATCCAGATGCAGGCCAAGGCGGATGCCCTTGCTGAGGACGAGTTCGACACCACCGAACATACCAAGGCCAAGACGAAGAAGCTCAGAAGGAGAGAGTCGAAGGCCTTTGACTTGGATGACTCGAAGAAGGGCAAGAGCAAGGGCTTCGCGGATGAAGATGCTGTCAGGGTTGAGAGCTTGAACTTCAAGGTAGGCCTCCCCTTCCTTCCATCTTTCTCTCTTTTTGTCATGAGAAAACACATGTTGACCCTTTGAACAGCGCTTAGTGAAAGGCTCACTTGTGTTGGGCCAAATAACCTCCATTGGCCTACACAATCTCACCGTCTCCCTCCCAAACAATCTCACCGGCAACGTTTCTATTGCGGCCATCTCCGACGTGATTACAGCCAGACTCCAAAAGGATGCCGAAGAGTCAGACGAGGACAGCAACGAGGAGGATGACGGCGGCGGCGACGACGACGAAGACAATGGTGTCGACCTCAAGTCTCTCTTCGAGATTGGGCAATATGTGCGTGCCTACGTGGTCTCTACCAAAGACGAGGAGAACACCGGCAAATCCAAGGCCAAGCCCAGGCGCAACATCGAACTATCTCTCCGCCCCAGCGAAACCAACTCGGGCCTGTCCAAGGATGATGTCGTCCCCCATGTTACCGTCATGGCCGCCATCACCAGCGTACAGGATCACGGCTACGAGATGGACCTCGGCATCGACGGCAAGAAGCTCAAGGGTTTCTTGTCCAAGAAGGAAGTCGGTGCGAATGCCGACGAGATTATGAACCTCCAGCCGGGCGCCGTCTTCTTGTGTCTCGTCAAGACCGTCTCGGGCAAGGTTGCCCAGTTGACCATGGACCCGGCCAAGCTAGGTAGCGTCGAGGCCATTGCGAATACTGCCACCACCGTCAATTCCTTCCAGCCCGGGTCGGCCGTCGACGTCTTGGTTACCGCCGTCAGCGGCCGAGGCCTCTCGGGCAAGATTCTCGGCCACCTAACAGTTACCGCCGACTTGGTCCACTCCGGCGCGGGCCCCGACGGCGTCGACCTCGAAGCCAAGCATAGGGTCGGCTCTCGTGTGAACGCCCGCGTCATCTGCACCTTCCCCGCCGCGAGGGACCCCAAGCTCGGCATCTCCCTGCTGCCTCACATCACCAAGCTGCGGCCCAAGACCGCCGACGAGAGGGCCGCCAGGCCCAAGTCGCCCCTCGATCTGCTTCCCATCGCTTCCATCGTCGAAGAGTGCACCGTGCGCAGCGTCGAACCCGACATCGGTCTGTACGTCGATCTGGGCGTGCCGGGTCTTTCGGGCTTCGTCCACATTTCCAAGGTGAGGGATGGCAAGGTGGACGCCCTCTACGAGACGAGCGGTGCCCACAAAGTGGGATCCGTACATCAGGGCCGCATCATAGGCTACAGCCCCTTGGACGGCATGTTCGTCTTGTCTTTCGAAAAGTCCATCCTCGAACAACGATTCATTCGGCTGGAAGACGTCCCCGTCGGCGAAGTCGTCAGCTGTACCATCGAGAGGGTAGTCGTCGGCGCGAACGGAGTCAGCGGGCTGATCTTGAAGCTGGCCGACGGCATCACCGGCTACGTCCACGAGACCCATCTCGCGGACGTCCGGCTACAGCACCCGGAGAGGAAGTTCCGGGAGGGTATGACTGTGAAAGCACGCGTCCTCTCCGTCCGGCCCAGGAAGCGCCAGATGCGGTTGACCCTGAAGAAGACCCTCGTCAACTCGGACGCCCCGATTATCCAGAGCTTTGACGAGGTTGCCGTCGGCACGCAGGCTCTGGGCACCATTTGCGACATCAAGCCCCATGGAGCCCGGATCGAGTTCTACCGAGGAGTTCGCGGGTTCCTGCCGGTTTCCGAAATGAGCGAGGCCTACATCCAGGATCCGACCGAACATTTCCGGGTGGGACAGGTAGTCAACGTGCACGTCTTGGAGGTCAATCCGGAAGCCCGGAAACTCGTCGTGTCCTGCAAAGACCCGTCCGCCTTCGGGTTGGAGAAGCAGGCGGCCCTCAAAGCCCTGACGGTGGGCGACATGGTCTCCGGCAAAGTCATGCAGAAGACCGAGGACGAGATCTTCATCGAACTCGACAAGAGCGAGCTCAAGGCTATTCTGCGCGTCGGTCACCTCACCGACAAGTCGGCAAGCAAGAACCAGTCGGCTTTCAAGAGACTGCACGTGGGCCAGGAACTCTCCGACCTGATGGTCCTGGACAAGAACGAGCGGCGCCGGGCCATCGTCCTCACCATGAAGCCGAGCCTCATCGACGCCAGCAAGAACGGCAAGCTTCTCCGCGGCTACGCAGATGCCAAGGTGAAGGATGTCGTGCCGGGCTTTGTGAGCAATATCCGTCCGGGAGCCGTGCTGGTCCAGTTTGGCGGCAACCTGGTCGGCGTCCTCTTCAAGACGAGGCTGCCCAAGGAGGACCAGGAGAAGGAGAACTTTGGACTACGGAAGCACCAGAGTCTTACCGTCAAGGTGGTTGCTGTGGACTTGGAGAAGAATCGTCTCGTGGTCGCGCCGGCATCCTCGGAGGACGGATCCGCGGAAGAGAAAGAGAAGGCCAAGGATAACAAGCAGACTACGCGCCCCCAGATCCACGGACCCGTCCAGGACATCGCCCTCGGTCAGATCCTCGATGCCCGGATCGTCGGCATTCACGCCACCCAGCTCAACGTCGAGACCGAAGACAAGGTGCAGGGCCGCGTCGACGTGTCTCAGATTTTCGATTCCTGGGACGACATCCAAGACCCGAGCAACCCCCTCTCGCAGTTCAACAAGGGCGATACCATTCGCGTCCGCGCCATGGGCCTGCACGACTCGAAGAACCACCGCTTCCTCGCCTTCTCCCACCGATCGTACAACTCGGTCGTCGAGTTCACGGCCAAGCCCAGCGATCTCGCCGCAGACGAACTGAAGCCCCTCTCCTCCCTCGCTCAACTCGAGCGCGGGGCCTCCTACGTGGCTTTCGTCAACAACGCGTCGCGCCAGTGCCTGTGGGTGAACATCTCGCCCGTCGTTCGCGGTCGCGTCAGTGCCATGGACGCCTCCGACGACGTCTCTCAGGCGAGCGATCTGGTCTCGCACTTCCCCGTCGGCTCGGCCGTCCGCGTCCGGGTGGTCGACGTGGACCCGGCAAAACAACGCCTGGACCTCTCCGCCCGCACGTCCCCCGCCGTCTCGTGGGACTCGCTGAAGCCCAACATGGTGCTCGCGGGCGTGGTCTCCCAGATCAGCGAGCGGCAAGTGATGGTCAAGCTGAGCCCGACGGTTTCCGGGTCGGTCCACCTGGTGGACGTGAAGGACGACTTTAGCGAGGCCAACACGCTCCACTTCAACAAGGGCGAGCCGATCCGGGTCTCGGTCGTGGAGGTCGACAAGGCCAATAAGCGTATCCGGCTCTCGACGCGGCCGTCGCGCGTGCTCAACTCGTCGTCGCCCATGGCGGACCGGGAGATCACCGACGCGAAGCAGATCGCGCCGGGCGACATCATCCGGGGTTTCGTCAAGCACGTCGGAGACAAGGGCGTGTTCGTGCTGCTGGGCGGCAAGGTGACCGCCATGGTCAAGATCGGCAACCTGTCGGACCGCTTCCTGAAGGAGTGGAAGGATCAGTTCCAGGTCGACCAGCTGGTCAAGGGGCGCGTCCTCGCCGTGGACGCCGCCGGGTCGGGCCATGTCGAGCTCAGCCTCAAGAGCTCGGTCGTCGACGAGGACTACACGCCGCTCGTCACGTACCGGGACCTCAAGCCGGGCCAGTTCGTGACGGGCAAGGTGCGCAAGGTGGAGGATTTCGGCGCGTTCATCGTGGTGGACGACTCGGCCAACGTGAGCGGCCTGTGCCATCGGAGCGAGATGGCGGACAAGCCGGTCGAGGACGCGAGGAAGCTCTACCAGGAGGGCGACCTGGTCAAGGCGAAGGTTCTCGACGTGAATGCGGCGAAGAAGCGCGTCTCGTTCGGTCTCAAGCCTGCCTATTTCGACGAGGAAGAAGAGGACACCGATATGGAGGACGGCGAGGGTGCTGTTTTGGTGTCGAGCGGCGAGGAGGATGGTGATGAGGACGTCGACAGCGACGAAGGGATCGATTTGATGAATGGCGGTGCACCTATCAAGTTTATTGGCCTGGATAACGACGACTCGGAAGAGGACGACGAGGATGAGGATGAAGACGGATCGGTGGACGAAGAAGACGAAGACGAAGACGAAGACGAAGACGAAGGTGCAGAGGATGCCGTCGATGACGACGGAGATGTATCCATGTCCGGGCAAGCACAGAAGAAGAAGGAGAAGATTGGCCTGGGAGCCGGAAAATACGACTGGACCGGCCATGCTTTCGACGACTCGGATGATGCAGCCGACGCGGCGGCGCCTACCACCCGGAAACAACAGACATCCAAGCAGAAGCAGAGGAAGGAAGAGGACGGGATCCAGATCGACCGCACGGCGCAACTGGACGTCAACGGCCCCCAGACAGCGAGCGACTTTGAGCGACTCCTGCTCGGCCAACCGGACTCGTCGTCCCTCTGGATCGCGTACATGGCGCTGCAGATGCAGGTCAGCGAGCTGAGCAAGGCGCGGGAGATCGCGGAGCGCGCCATCCGGACGATCAACATCCGGGAGGTGACGGAGAAGCTCAACGTGTGGATCGCGTACCTCAACCTGGAGGTGGCCTACGGCACGAAGAAGACGGTGGACGAGGTGTTCCAGCGGGCGTGCCAGTACAACGACGACCGCGAGGTGCACGAGCGCCTGGCGACCATCTACATCCAGTCCAACAAGCGCAAGGCGGCCGACGCCCTGTTCCAGACGATGCTCTCCCGGTACGGGTCCCAGTCGGTCGACGTCTGGACCAACTACGCGCACTTCCTCCACGTGACGCTCGGCGAGGCGGACCGGGCGCGCGCGCTCCTCCCCCGGGCGACGCAGGCGCTGGGCGAGCGCCACACGGCGGGGCTGATGGCCAAGTTTGGGGCGCTGGAGTTCCGGTCGCCGCATGGGGATGCGGAGCGCGGGCGCACGACGTTTGAGACGCTGCTTGCGACGTGGCCGAAGCGGTTCGATTACTGGAACCAGCTCGCGGACTTGGAGGTGTCTGCCGCCGAGCCGGATGCCGCGGCCGTGAGGGACGTGTTTGAGCGCGGGGCGAGGGTGCGCGGGCTCAAGCCGCAGCGGGCTATGAAGTGGTTCAAGCGCTGGGCGGAGTGGGAGGGGAAGACGGACCCCAAGGGGCCGGGACGGGAGAGGGTTATGGCGAAGGCGCAGGAGTGGGTTGCGGCTGCGAAGGCGAGGAAGGAGGCGGCGGCGGCGAAGGGTGAGGGGGAGGGGGGTGAGGAGTAGGTGGACTTTAATCGTCTTGTTTGGTCGTTTTTTTCCATGCCACCGTCACCCAGGGTGTGGGTATAGGAAAAGGGGTTGGCTTTCTTTTGTGGGCGTATATTTATTTGGAGTTCTAGATTCTTTTTTGTAAACAAAAAAGTTAATGAAGTCTTTGTATGCATACGAAAGGGATAAAGGAGCTCTCCTTTTGCCCCCCTCTAACTAACTGCTCAACCTGAAGGATATACGAGACCGTCGAGGTCGTCAGGGTCAGGTTCAGGGGTCGGTGAGATATAAAAAGACATGACGTTGCATTGCATAGACACGTTTCTATGCCCTTTGATGTATACTTGACCAGAACCAAAAGGGCTAGAATGAGCCGCATATCTTGACTTTTCTTGCTTGTTTACGCAAAATAGTAATAACAAAGGAGTTGGTGATGTCTGGATGGTGTTTACCTTAGGGAGTCGAACAATGGAGCATCGAGTACGTACCTGACTAATCTAACTCACGCCTTGAGGCCTCAGGTGGTAAGGCAGGCGCGGCCCGTACCTGAGAGGCAGTCAGAGTACCTGTACCTGGTATTACGTAGCTTCACAGGGAACGTACAACGAACGTATCCAACCGTGGAGCCGGCCTCGGTATCCCGTGCAACCTAAGGTACGTTGTACTTCGTACTCGTACCTTACCTGAAAGAGGAACAACGGCCGGAACCAACGCAGAATAAAACACAAAATCAAGGCATCAAGGGCCATTCAAAGGTATCTGAACACAATGATTTATGTATCAAGGTACTTCCCCCAATCCTTGCTTCTATGAGGTACCTCAGGTACGTACTTACCCTTGCCTTGTTACCAGGTACCAGGTAATTATTAGTCGTCCGCTTAAGTATTTTCTTTCTAATCCACTCTCACTCTCATTCTCATCCCTCTTCCAACTTCCATCCCTTTACCAACTTCATCCCTTACGTACCTTGCATCACTTTTTGCAATTTTCGCACTCTGTACGGAGCATCTGCACATGCGAATTTTTTTTAAAAAGCAGTCCAAATACCAAATACCCACCAAAGCCGCTTTCCAACCATCCGAGCCATCCGGCATTCGTACACTACTTGCCAGTAAACAGAGCATTCAGCATCTTTGCTCATCAGCGTCCAGACATCGCACATCTCCTCACCTCGCCATGGGCCATCACAACCGTCACTATGCGGGCGATCCGCATGCCCATACTGGTGTTTGGGGCTCACCGACTAGTGCCGCCAAGTATGCCCAACCTAGCCTCCCACTCCCGCTTTTTCTACCGTTCCAAGAAAGCAAAATATCTGACATGGGTGACGTGACGTCTAGCTTCTGCGAAGAAGACTATGCCGTGACAAGTCTCATCGCCGAGTTTATCAACTGCTTGTCCAACCTAGCGTACAGTGAGTTTCCCTCATAGCTCGTGGGGCTCTGAAGACTGAGGACGAGTGTCTTTATCTCCATTCACTCTCTTTCCCCCCTCCCCCGTTTCGCAAACTTCTCTCCCGCAAACATCACATGCAAAGCCACTAACCAACCCCAGTCTACTTCGCCCTCCGGTACCCCCGGAAAACCCGCCCAGGAACACTATGGCACCAAAAGCTAGACTTCATGGCCATCTCCCTGATGGGCGTCGGCATCTCCTCCGGCATCTACCACGGCACCCTCCGCCAAACGACCCAGTACCTCGACGACCTCTCCATGTTCCTCCTCGCCGGCGCCCTCCTCCACCCGCTCTACGCCGCGAACCAGACCGCCACCGTGCGCGCTCTCGTCAGCCTCATCCTCGTCGCCGTCATCGGCGGCATGTCCGTCGTCTACGTCCGCTCGGGCAACATCCTGATCCACACGTACACCTTCATCGCGCTGCTCACCTTCGTCTGGCCGCGCACCATCTACCTCATCCACTGGACGGCGTCCCGGCCCCCGGCCGAGAAGCGCGCCCTCATGCGGCGGTTCTGGAAGGCGTTCTGGGCCCTCGGCGTCGGGTACGCGCTGTGGCATGTCGATCTCGAGCTGTGCTGGCAGCTGCGCGGGTTGCGGGAGATGGTCCCCATGCCGCTGGGCTGGCTTTTGGAGATGCATGGGTGGTGGCATTTCCTTACCGCGCTGGGGGCGAGCCACTTCATCCGGTTGATTCGGTCGGTGACGGACGGCGTGGACGGCTCTGCCGGGAAGGAGAGGAAGGCTTGAGTTGGGATGCCTTTTGTGTTTCTTCTTTCCTGGATGTGCTCGCTCGGCTCTGTGCACATGACTTGACGTACCTTACGTTGCAGGACGCTTTTTGGTTGACTACCTTGGCCCATTAGACCTCCCGGGATGCGCTGTATGTTTTCTGTATGGGGTACTTTGGGATTCAGCGAGTGGTTTGCGATCAGTTCAGGTTAGGATATCCGTGGACCAGGAGGACATGGTCACATGGGGACAGCCATGCAGCGAATGAGAAGATACCACTTAGCGGATTTTTCGGTCGATGATCTCTCGGAGACGTTCATGATGCCTTTAGCTTTTCATTCCGTATTACCGGCAGTAGAGTGGAGGGACTCCAGCCCCGTCACGACTCACAGATCCCAAACTAAGGTAGGTACCTAAGGTATACTTTACTTCACGGTACTCCCTTCCACGATTGTTTGGCGGAATCCAACCTTCTCGTCCAGTACCCCCCGAAGTACAGCATCCGCTCGTGGGAAGTGCGGGCCAAAAGGGTGGTACAAAGGAGAGGGGAATGGGACGAGAAGGGGGGGGGGGACGGGAAGGACTGAAGGAGGTTCTTGCCTTTAGGTTTCGAGGACAACATCAAAGTCACAAAGTCACCATTTCACGACTCTTTTTTGAGCCCTTGGTCTTTTCCCTTCCATTTATAGTCGCTTTCTCACACCCTTTTCCTTTTTTCCGTTTCTCTCCCGTTGATCAGAACGGAAACGCAAAGCAGTTCAAAACATTCATTCCCTTGCACCATTTGGCCGCTTCAAATTATACGTATACATAATACAGTACACCCTATGCAATCCCTACGTCTCCCTCTCTTCTGCAAACACTAGTCTTAGCCCGTCTTTCAACCTTTTATTTATTTTTGTCCCGCGGCAATGCGGTTCTCTCTGTCTGTTCTCTCCCTGGTGGTGTCTTTGTCGTCGTCTTGGGCCCTGGGAACTGTGCAGCCTGTGGTCCCTGAACCTCCCACCGATTATGCCACATCCTTCTGCTCGAAATATTCCTACCAGACTATAAGTTGCAATCGGACCTACCACGGCCTTGACGCTTCCATTCGATATGTAACTAACTCGAGTGTGTGCGAGGCGGACACCGTCCGTCAGCATTCGGGATATGTCACTCACGGTGATGGTGCGTCTTGCTTTTTCTTTTTTTCTTTTCACATTTACACGATACATCAGACTCATGACGCAAGGACGAACAACTGACACATCTCCCCACGCCACAGGTAACGTACGGAATCTCTTTTTCTGGTTCTTCGAGTCTCGCAGAGATCCGAGCGCCGATCCCATCACCATCTTCCTCAGCGGCGGTCCCGGATCTGCATCATCGGCTCTTGCGACGCTTCAACAATTCGGGGCCTGCAGGGTTGGTGGTTCCGAGTCCGAGGGCTTCTACCTCGTCACCAACCCTACATCGTGGCATAATTACTCCAACATGCTCTACATTGACCACCCCGTCGGCGTGGGCTACAGTTACGGTACCCAAAGAGCCTTGTCGTCCTAGGAGACCGTGGGTCACCTTTGGGACGTCTTACAAGTCTTCCTCGAAACCTTCCAGCAGTTCCGATCCCACCGCTTCAACCTGTATGGCATCTCCTACGGAGGCATATTCGGGCCGCTCCTCGCAGACCACATCCTCACGCAGAACTTCATGATCCAGCATGGTTTTCTGAACGCACACCCTATCAGGCTCAACTCACTGGTCGCCGTCAGCGGCTGGTTCGACGCGTCCATCCAGTACAAGGCGGTCATTGACTTTGCGCGGCATAACACGTACGAACCCCTCATAACCGACGCTACGCATGCCGACCTCATGCAAGTATTCTCCGCGCGAGTCCTGCCCGGCCTACAGCGCTGCTCCCGCATCGGATCCACGGCGCAGTGCGCCTCCTCAGCGACCAACGAGCAATTTCTCATTCAGCAGGTGAGTCAGGGACTGGGAGCTGCGGCTGCCTCTTCGGATTTCCACGATATCCGGCAGTTCCTCAAACGGAAGAAGAAGGGTCTTGGGAGGCCTGATAAGTTTGACGCCGACGATCCGCTGGAAAAGGTCTTCAACTCTCCATGGGCCCGAGACGCCTTGGGGGCTGAGACGGAGTTTGAGCGTCTGGGATATGGGGAGGGAGAGACGTACAAGACGTTTCAAAAGCTGGGGGATGGTAAGTGGCTTTCTCTCCTTTTACTCTTTTTTTTCGGTATCTTTTCTCTCACTCATGTCGAATGACTCCAGCTAGCCGATCAGTCCTAGACTCACTATCGCATCTAGTGAGCCGGGGGATCAAAACGCTCATATGGTCATCCGACGCAGACTGGCTTTGCAACTGGATGGGGACGCTGGAAGTAGCACGCCGCCTCGAGCACGACGGCCGCCAGCAATTCAGAAACCACCCGGCCCAGAATTACACCGTCGACGGAGAAGCAGTCGGCCACGTGAGGACCGGTGGAAATCTCACCTGGTTTCTTCAGCGGAATACCGATCATTCTCTTCATGGCGAACGTACGTATTATCATCTCCTTGTATCCACTGCAGTTGAATGCTCTCTGTCTACAGTCTTCCCCCTTTTCTCACCCCATAGTCAAGGTGCTCAGCGCTGACCTTTGACACAGAGGCCAAAGCCGTGGCATTGCATGTCTTTAAGCAGATGACGGATCAGGGCGCACTTTTGTCAACGTAAGGTGGATCATGAAGGCTGGGGGGGGGGGGGTGGGGACTGAGCGGCGTAGCGGGTAGATATGTCAGAGCTCCAAGATGGTCAGACAACAAACAGACAAGATGGTCGGTCCAGGCATGTCACGGAGCATAAGCAAAACAACGCCCACGACACTACGACCTTCGAAGAAGATGTAGAACTGTAGGTATTGAACTGCTATGTTGCACGAAGCATCTCTTGTGATCGCTGGCACACGCAGTTATAGAGAGCCATCAGCAGGCGTTCGTTCGTCTCCGGCATTCCCAATCTGGAGCCGAGTCGGTACGAGATTCGGGTCGGAATACGTTGTACGGTCCTACAGCGTAGACCGGTGGAAACCGGTATTCACGGTGGGCCCTGGGGGTACACGGTGAGTGACCGCTGTTGGGCGGGTCATGTGACTTGCCCTAGCTTTATCCCAATACTCCTTCCACTGTCGTCGTCAGTGGTCACTGACTCACTGGTGACTGGTCAACCGTCAGGGAGTTTTCCCTCCATCAACAACTTTACACGTACGACCGACCTCCAGTCTCGCCTCCCTCGCCCACCCCCACCGACTTATCATGGATCCATGGGGAAATGGGAAAATGGGTCCCTCCTTGTTTCCTTTCCGCTTTCCAGTTTCCCCTCACTTAGCCGTCATGCAGCTGCCTCTTCAAGTCAAGCCGGGTTGGCCGCCAAGCTGCTCGGTAGTGCAGCTTAAGTGGACAGCGAAGTGCCGATCTTTGCCATCGTTATCGGCGACGGCATTCATGGCCCGTGGGATTTCCATCAAGGCAGGTTCTTCCAATTGACGAATCAACATGGCCCATGGCCTAGGACCTACCTAGGACCTAGGACCTAGGGCCTAGAGGCTAGGATTACCCACTGTAAGCAGAGGCTGCAGAGCAGGTGGGATCCTCGGCGTTCTTTTCGTCCAGGACGGCGTTTTTGCCGATGATGCGGTGATACGCAGTCGGCCGGGGGGTTATAAAGAGTCGGGGGACTTGGTTGCGTCCACCAAACAGTTTATCGGTTATCCCCTCCTCCTCCCCGGCGGCGCTCTTCCACATCCGAGTTTCACCTCTTTTTCTTCTTTTTTTCCTTCCTAAGTGCCGACTTCCTCGTTATAGCGAGACTCTTTCTTCCTCAACAATGAGAGTTGCGACACAGGCCGGCCTCTTCGGCCTCGTCTCCCTAGCCAGCGCGGTCCAGTACGGCTACAACCACGTCCCTGTTCGTCAGGACCCGGATCACGTCGCCGCCCATTTTCAGGATGTCGATATCGACCTCTACTCTCCTGCATTCCTCAACCCTGAGGGCAGATTGCCCGGGTTCCCCAACGGAACTCAGGGACCAACATCGCATGAGGTGATGGGTAAGAGAACACAGCTCCCTTCCTCCCCAAGTTCCAACCAGGGGAGACGAGAAAGAAAGAAAGAAAATGAAAAGACTGACAGTCAACTCAGAATCCTACATGGAGGAACTGGCAAGCCGAAACGACTACATGACCTATCACACCGCCAACTTCACCTCGGAAGAGCTGCGCTCGTACCCTTTCGTGCACCTCTCGACCAACGGCCACTTGAACCCCTGCCGCCGCGGCAACTCGACCGAGAAGATCCGCGTGTGGGTGCAGGGCGCACAGCACGGCAACGAGCCCGCCGCCGACGAATCCCTCCTGGCCCTCCTCGGCCAGTTCGACAGCGACCCGGAATGGGCGGCCGAGATCCTAGACAAGCTCGATATCGTCGTCCTGCCGCGCGCCAACCCGGACGGCGTCTACTACTTCCAGCGCACCCTGGCCACCAACCTCGACCCCAACCGAGACCACATCAAGCTCAACCGCCAGCAGTCGCGCGACATCAAGACCCTCTTCAACGAGTACAAGCCGCATATCGTCATGGATATGCACGAGTACGGCGCCACCACCCAGTACGGCCGTTACTACCACGCCTCGGACGGCCTTTTCGCCGCCGCCAAGAACCTCAACATCCACTCCGACATCCGCGCCCTGTCCGAAGACCTTTTCGCCAAGAACATCGGCGACGCCATGGACGAGCAAGGTCTCCGCTGGGAACCCTATGCCACTGGCTCGTCGAGCACGAACCTGGATTTCGTCCCCCACTTCAACGAAGCCGGCACGGACGCCAAGATCGGCCGCAACGCCCTGGGCCTGACCCAGTCGGTCACCTTCCTCATCGAAGCGCGCGGCATTAACCTCGCCGACCAGGAATTCCAGCGCCGCACGGCCGCCAGCCTGGTCATGGCCACCAGCATCCTCGAAACGGCCGCCAACAACGCCGAGCAAGTCTTCCGCGCCATCGAGGACGGTATCGACGCCTTCATCCGCTCGGACGACGACATCGTCCTGACCGACTACACCCGGGTCGAGAGCCGCCTCTTCACCATGGTGGACCACACCAACGGTAGCCTCGCGCAGGTCCCCATCACCTTCGCGTCCGCGACGCCGGCGCAGGCGGACCTGACCCGCTCCCGGCCCGAGGCGTACCTCATCCCCGTGGCGTGGGCGGACGTGGCGGACCGGCTCCGCGCGGCGGGGTTGAAGGTCGAGACGCTGGAAGAGCCGTGGTCGGGCACCGTGGAGGCCCTGACGATCACGTCGACGACGGTCGCCGGGAGCTACTACGAGGGTGCCCTCCGCGTCACGGCGACGGCGGAGGCGAGGAAGCGGGAGCTCACGCTGTCGGCGGGGAGCTTCCTGGTCAGCGCGCGGCAGAAGAACGCGGCGCTTGCCTTTGTGGCGCTGGAGCCGGAGACGATCGACTCGTTTGTGACGTTTAATATCATTCCGGTGAATGTGAGGGATGAGTATCCTATTTTCAGGGTCATGTCTTGAGGTGGTTGGTTGGGGGGAGGGTCGACCTCGAGTCCTCGCTCCTGGGTTTTTGTGGATTCGCGGCATAATAGAAGTTATACTATAAGAAATATTCCTTCGAAAGGGGTGAAGACGATAAGTGCGCCCACCTGTCCACATCAGCCGTCCCACCATCACGATGGTCTCGGAAATTAGATGCAACAGAGTCTTACAAATTGGCAAGGGAAAAGAGATGAAACGCCCCCTAACGACACGAAGGATCGAAAACGGTTAGATGGCCATGGCCCATCACTTCCTGGTTGCACTCAGTGCAGCATATGACATCCAAGTTCAACCAGTCCCTGGTCATTCGAAGTTTCCTACCCCTTATGACCGCGTCTGTTGTGACGGTTTGTATGACCTCAACTTGGTCTCAACCACGTTACCACACGACGGGCCACAGGACGACAGTCGACATGTCCATCCCCTACCGTCTTAAAAACACTGTCTGCGCCCACGCCTCCGGGCCCTCTCCTGGGGCCTATGTTTATGCACTTCATCTTTAATGCCCTCCCTGGGCCTATGTTGACAGCCAAACTAAGATATCAACCATCAACACGTAAGGGGTCTCTTTTCCACTTGGTCAGCATGCGGCTACGTTACCATCCCTACAGCCCCCTTATCCTCTTCGGACTCGCCGCTGCTCGCTCCCTGGCCGACTCTACTGCGTCCACGCTAGATGGTGCGGACACGACCCATACTCACAGAAAGGGGGGGCCAGATGCCGCAAAGGCTCGGGCCGTCAAAGACGCTTACTTGATTTCGTGGAACGGGTACTACGACCATGCCTTCCCCGACGACACCCTCCAGCCCGTCACCAACGGGTCGGTCAACGACAGGAGCAGCTGGGGGGTGACGGCGGTGGACTCGCTCAGCGCGGCCATCATCTTCCAGGACGCCGAGAGCGTGAACCAGATCTTGGAATTCATTCCGACCATCGACTTTACCACCACTCGGCGGTCCGAGTTCTTCTCGCTCTTCGAAACCAACATTCGATACGTTGGTGGACTTCTTTCTGGTGTGTTACTCTGCTGTCGTCTTCCCCTCCCCCCCCTCAGTCTTCTAACACCAAACTTTGCCCCTCCAGCCTACGACCTCCTGAGCCTACCCCAGTACCGCAACCTCCCCGAAAACAAGACCCACGTAGAGACCCTCCTCAAACAGGCCGTCTCGCTCGGCAACGCCCTCAAGTTCGCCTTCGACACCCCCAGCGGCGTTCCGGACCCCTCTATCCAGCTGAACCCGGCGCCCAGGCGAAGCGGTGCCCTCACCAACAACATCGCCGAGGCCGGAACCCTGGTCTTGGAATGGACCCGCCTCAGCGATCTCACCGGCGACCCATCCTACGCGGCCCTGGCGCAAAAGGCAGAGTCCTACATCCTGCACCCCGCGCCGCCGAGTGCGGAGCCGTTCCCCGGACTGGTGGGTACGCATCTCCGAATCGCGGACGGGAGGTTCACGGATACTTCGGGGGGTTGGTCGGGCCTCACGGACAGCTTCTACGAGTACCTCATCAAGATGTACCTGTACGACCCCGATCAGTTCGCTTTCTACAAGGAGAGGTGGATGGCCGCTGCGGACTCCACGATGAGGTACTTGGTTTCCCACCCGTCCACTCGGCAGGATATTACTTTCCTTTCCTTGTACAGAGGGACCACGACGATTCCGGTATCGACGCACTGTAAGTCTTTCCCCTTTCCCCTTCCCCCCCCCCCCTCTCTCTCTCTCTCTCCTCTTATTCGCAAATGACGCCCACTGACCCGTTTCGTCTCAACTCGCAGTGGCCAGCTTCGCCGGCGGCAACTTCATCCTAGGCGGGCTCCTCCTCAACGAAACGAAATACGTCGATTTCGGCCTCCGGCTCGCCGAGTCGTACTACCAGACCTACCGCGGAACCGCCACGGGCATCGGCCCGGAAGCGTTCCGCTGGTTCGACAACGCGAAGCCCCCGAGCGGGGACAACACCCCGCCGCCCACGGCCGAGGACGCGGCGTCCTACGCGAGCGCCGGGTTCTGGGCGACGGCGAGGCAGTACATCCTCCGGCCCGAGACGGTCGAGTCGCTGTACCACGCGTACCGTGCCACGGGCGACGCGAAGTACCAGGATATGGCGTGGCGGGCTTTCCGGGACGTCGCGAGGGCGGCGCGCGTCGGTGGTGCGTATGCTGGGCTGGCGGATGTGACGGGGGCGGATGGCGGCCGTTTTCTGGATAGGATGGAGAGTTTCTGGATTACGGAGACGTTGAAGTATCTGTATCTTCTCTTTACTGAGGATTCGGAGATTCAGGTTCAGGCTGGTAGGCCGAATATGTGGGTGTATGGCACTGAGGCACAACCTTATCGGATTCGGAGTAACAGGTAAACCGTAAATGGTAAGGACTAAGGAGAGTCTGTCGTGGGACGAATTTGGATGGTTGAGACTTTGACTTGAAAGGAGTCGATGGAAACAGTACTTTTTTTCAGTAGAGGTAGAGCTTGCGTATTGAAGTCGTGCAAGGTATTTTGGGAATGTTCGGCGGGAAGCCGGGCTATGTTGCCGAATAAGGTAGGGTACGGTACTATATGGGGCCGTTCCGCATCGGCAGCCAAGACGGGATATTGTGGGGCAACGGGGCCGGGGCCCGGGACCGGGTCCCGGGCGCCGACTCCCAACTTAATACGAAGTACAAGTCCAGAGACTGATTATATCAAACTGATTTAGCAGATGCAAGTCCCTTTTAGCAGAGCTCATAGAAACAGATAGACTACTGAATTGGAGACAAATAAGGTCAATTGCTCTAGAGTCTGGGTTGCATCCTCAGTACCAAGGTCCAACCGTCCAACACGCCCCTCCTGTCGGTTGACCGTACCTACAACTTTTACCCACGGGTTGCGAAAACATTCAGTTTAGCCAGGTCTACGGGCAGCTTGTGGCATGTTGGACTTGTGAATACGTAGACAGGATGCTTCAATTTCTCCCAGTAAAGCAAACCAATCCCTCCATAACCCGCAGATGTATGATAGCTTTGATTTATCTACCTACAGAAGTGACTGTCTCCATTTGGAATACAAGACGAAATTATTGTTTCAAGGACTCGGTTCACCTTAACTGCGTGACGCCAGGACCAGTTAAATTAAGCTATTTATGCCTTCAAACCATAGGATATCATATGCTCACAAAGTAAAATAGTATCAACCCAGAGACTCATCACCAACATGATAAAGAAGCAGCAGCCCCTTCGTCCTCCCCGTGAGAAGGTCCGAGTTCACAACATACTCAGTCCTCATCCCACATCACCGTCATCGAGCAAGGGAACGGCCACAAGCCACTCCAATCCTCGCGCATGTACACGAAAAACCCCCCCGGCCGAGGCACCTTCTTCAGCTCCCCCAGCGCACCAGGCTGCCGCCGCACATTCCGCCGCTTGAACAACGCCCTGAACATCTCCGTCAGCGCCACTTGGCTCGCCTCCCGGCCCAGGCACGCATGCGGGCCCAGCCCATAGTGGATATACGCCTCCAGCGGCCGACGGGGATCCACCTTCTCCGGCTCCGGGAACCTGACAGGGTCGCGCGCCGCCCCGACGAAACTGACAAACACGCGGTCTCCCTTCTTGACCTCCACCCGGCGCCCGTCAGCCTCCACGATGACATCATCCGCCGCCGCGTCGCGGTACGACCCGAACGTGCCCGCCATGCGGATCCCCTCCATCGCATACCCCAGCAGCAGCGCGTCCGTCTGCTCCGAGGCGGGCTGCTGGTTCGCCAACGCGTGCAGGTCCGCGAGGTGCACACGCCCTTGCGGCGAGAGGTAGTAGTCGACCGCCTGCGCGAACACCTGCGCCTGGTTCGGCACCATGGCCGCCGCCGTCGGGAGCACGTGGCTCCACGCCACCTCGTACGCGCTCATCCCGCCACCGGACTGGGAGAGGCCCTTGACCATGTTGGTGCCGTACGCCGCCAGGGGGTCGTTCTTCTTGTCCGACGACGAGGTGAACAGGCCGCGCAGGTGGAGAGTCGTCGTCAGCTTGACGTTGGTCTCGATCACCTGGCCCAGCTTCTTCGCCGCCGCCTGCGCCGCCTGCCGGAGCGGGAACGACTTGGCCGGGTCCATGTCGAAGAAGACGCACACGAAGATGACCGCCAGCAGCTGGTACATCTCGTGCTCCGTGAACACGCCCTTGGGGTGCTGCGCAGACTTGAGCGGCAGGTTGAACATGCGCGACGCGAAGTGCACGTGTGCCAGGTTGCCCACGTCCCGGACCAGGTCGACGTGCCTCTGCTTCTTGTTCTCGCCCAGGGTGTACGACTTTTCTTGCAGGAGTTGGTCGGTGATTTGCGCGTAAAACGTCTTCACCGCCGCCGCCCAGCCGTCCTTGTACAGCTGCGCGCTCATGCACTTGCGCTGTCCGGCGTGGAGGTCCGTGTCCCCGGAGAGCATGAACCCCAGGCCGCCCTTGCCCATGAGGCGGCCCAGACCCTCGTGCCAGACGACCTTGTACACGTCCTGGCGCTCGAGGACGTGCTGCGCGCCGCTGTACGTCGTAACGTTCACGCGAGGCGGCATGTACGCCGGCCGGCTAAAGTCGAACTCGTCGACGCGGCCCAGGTCCGTGAGGATCTTGTGCGTCTCCGAGGGGACCACCATGGGGTAGTGCGCGTACACCGAGTTGCTCTTGAAGTGGTTCGGGAACGCACGGAGGAAGAGCTTGTAGTAGACGCACCCGTGGTTGACGCTGCGGTCATAGTTGACTTCCTGGAAGCCCCAGTTGGTCAGGTGGCGAGGTGTGTAATCCTTCGTGTAGTGCCGGTCGCCGCGCACCAGGCACACCGCGTCGGAGAGGACGACGCGGGAGATGGTGTATGTCGGCGCGATGCCCACGCCCGGTACCATGGGCGTCTTGGCCTCCTCCGCCACAATGCCGGGGTACAACTCGACATTATCGGGCGTGATGTAGAGGTGTCGCAGAGCGTCGGCGATCTCCGGGTCCGAGTTGATGTCTTCAAAGTTCTCGTACGGCTTAAGGCCGAACGACTTGCGGAACTCGTTCAGCCCGGCCACGTTCCACTTGCGACCCTGGAGGATGGCGAGAATCTCGACAGGACGCATCACCTTGGGCACATTCCGGCCTCCAAAGGACCCAGCGCAATCCTCGATGGCCGAGGTGAGGCACTCGACGAGGTCATCGTCGTCGAACCGTCCGTCGGCCTGACGTTTATACCCGGCGAAGACCCGCTCACCGGGGTCGCTGGCAATAGAAGCGTCGAACTTCATGAACGCCTGCATCATCTCGCCCGGCGTCATCTCGCCCTTGCCGCCTCCCAAGAGCTCGCCGTAGAACTGCTGGATCCACTTGTCATCCTTGTCCGAGATGCAAGAGTGCCAGCGGTAGCAGAGGTTAAATTCGGCCGACACGACGTTGCCCGTGCCGGCTTCCGCTCCCTCTTTGGTGCCCACGTGAGCACCGGCTTCCTGGCGGGGATCCAACGTCCAAGTGGTGTCGGTTCGGTTCAGGTTGATGATGTTCCGGACGTAGTCGATCAACGTGATGTTGATATACAGCCCACAGGTGATGAGCCGGGCCGTCTGGAAGAGGTCGTTATCGTACTTCTTCCACGCCTTCTCCGCCTGCTCCCCCGCGAGGCCAGGGGGAGGCGGGGTGAACCGACCGCCCTCGTTGATGGCGGCGAGGTTCTCCGCGACATGGTTGTGGAACCGGTTAAACATGATGAGGAAGACGCAGACGCCGGGCGGCATGCCCAAGAGACGCTTGTCGGCAAAGCTGTCGGGCTTGAGCTTGCCATCCTTGAAGGTTCGGATCGTGTCCTGCATCTCTTGATTGCTTCCATACAGCGGCGAGAGATCCAGGTAGGACGACGTCTTGTTCTTGGAGAAGTCCCCATGGGCATGGTCCGTCCAGAACAGGTCTTTCCCCCCCAAGTCAGCGCAAAAGGCACTTCGAATGAACAACTACACAACTCCCTCCGCAAGTACATACCGTGGATGATAATGGTAGCCCAGTACCACAAGACAGACGACACATTATTGGGATGCTTGGTGTAGTTGGTACGGGCAAAGATGGAGTCGAACACCAGCCCGGCATCAGGCAAAACACCCTGGTTCACATGCTTGGGCGGGCACGACCGGGCATAAGTCGTCCCAGCAGCTCCCATGCTGGGGAATAGTGGGTTCTAGGGGGGAGGTTAGCCATCTTAGACTTTCACGTTGCTTGCCATGGCCGTTATCATCTGCTCATCATGGTCCATCTCACATTGTTGGAGCCATCGGCCCGCCGATACTTCGCGTCGTCGCCGACATACAACAGAGGAGGGTGGTCCAGCGAATCCCAGAGCTCTTGGACGAAGGCGTTGGTCAGCTCGTCGCGGGTCTTGGAGTTATGCGGCAGCTTGGCAACGAGCTGAATGGTTCGTTCCATGATCATGGTCTTGTCATCCTTGATCTTCTCCCCCTTGATCTTGCCCTTGATAATCGAGAGCAGGGTCTTGACATCTGAAATTTCCCTTGTTAGTCTGAAGCTTCACCATTGCCGATGTACGTGTGGTGGTTGGGGGGGTGAGGGTGGGCGAGAGTGGGCGAGAGTGGGCGTTCGCGATGGCTACCTCTATATTGAAGGGCCTTGATGTGCTCTCCGGCGCCGGGCCGGGTCACTACCACCGGGTACGAGCCGTCCCCGTGACGCTTGGGAAGTGGCCGCTTCGAGGCCTGTCGCAGCCTCTGAAGACGAGCAAATGTCCCGTCCTTCTCCTTGGGAAGAGAACCGCCGCAGCGCTTCGCCTTGGTCTCGCCCACGGTGGGGAGATACTCAAACTGTGGTGCCGCATTCTTCTCCTGCAGCTTGGATGGGCCCGGCGACTCCGCCGACCCCGCGGATGCGGCGGAAGAGATATGATTCCCGTTCATACTGGCAGGTAAAGTTGAGGTAAGGCCAGGTCAGGCGAGGACCTTATTAGTATTACCAGGGGACTCTTCAACACGCAGAAACTCCCGTGAAGGCAAGGGGGGAAGGAAAGAGACGAAAAGACGACGTATTCGAGAGCTAGAGCAATACTCTCGCCAACCTCTGCTGTAGAAGGAAACCGACAGAGGGGGGTAGGAGGCCGGGTGCTCTTGTATGGCCAGTCCGTGATTCTCCGTCGCCATGGCTCCAAGTCACAGCATCAATTTATATTAGCTTCGTGCTCCGATGCAGACGCATGGGTGTCTGAGCTGTCCGGTACGTCGCACGACCGACAATCATCAGCCTGTTTCTCGTTCTGGCTAAGTTGATATCCGTATCAGTGCCAGTGGGTAGCTGAATGGCGGGGATGGCAAGGGGGGGGGGGGCGGGGGGTAGGCAAAAAATGACAATCCCACGGACCATGGTCGAGGGCCCCTCAAGCAACTGAGACAGCCGAGACCCGGTGTCTCAGTCCCGGGTCGCCAGGCCAAGGCCACAGGGCGGCAGGGAGCCAGGGACCTTTGGCCACTAAGAACGGCGAGGGCCCGGGGGGTTTCAACGAGCCGCCCCAAAGCCAAGACAACGACAGGCCCGGCTCCCTGCTGCAGCTAGTATTGCCCCCTGCCCCCCTGGTCAAGGCGTAGTCGCAGTCGTCGTCGCAGCCAAATGTCCAAGTAATTGGCTGCCGGGAGGACCCAGACGGGTCGGGCCAACTACCGCGCACTAAAGTAGCCAGAAACATTGCTGGCCCGTCCAAAGTAGGCAGCGTATCTTTGTACGAGGCGGTCCCTCGATATTCGTTGTACGACTGACACTGACACGGAAAAGAGAACCTTGAGATGTGTCCTTCCGGCTCGTTGTCTGCTGTCCTACTCCATGGCCTGATGATCCCAGAGCCGGTGCGTGCAAATTGCAATTTCTGCTGCCCCTATCATGTTGCGGGAGCGTCGAACAGAATCATGCTGGCGGACATGGACGGAACCAAAATTGCCTCACAACTCCCAAGTCGCTAGGCAATTCAGCGACGGCGACCATCGTGACGAAAGACTGATGCGCGGTGGAGATGAGAAGCGAGCAGGAGATGATGAATGGAGCAAGTTCTGAGACCTCCGAGGCACTAGCGTTGTGAAGTCCGGCACGACATTCGCGCCACGTTGACCCACGAGGCCGCATCACCGCCCTCTCATCACTTCCCTTTGGGGCAGGGAGCAAGTGAGACTTCCGATCCCTGTTGCAGAATATGATGTTCACCCAGCGCCCCCCGGACCTACATACCACTTGCGCAGGCATTGGCCTTGGTATCGGGTCGCAGATAGTCTCACCGCTTCAACGGGATAGGTAGACAGGGCAATCGATAATCCTGTCGACCCCGCGTCCATAAAAGGAAACTATTGCTGCGGGCATTAGTCTCGGCAGAGGTTGGGTTGTCTCGCCCAAAGCATATCGACTGGTCATCCCAACTCGAGCCCTAGACGGATGGGCAAGGAGGCGGCGGGCATTGGGTAATGGGAAACCGATTCGGCGCAAGGTTACCAGATTCACTCTTCTCGCTGACCAGGGAAGGGTCCTCCTTGGTTCGACCATGTCGTAATGGACGAGGCAATTTTTCTCGATGCACGCCCACAGCATGCGGACGATCCCGGAAGAATGCAAGGCGGAAACTCCAGTACAAATTGCACAAGGGCCCGGTTCCGCGATGATCCAGCGAGAGACAGTGACCCGTTGAAAAGAGCCACAGAGCATTGCAGCCGACTCGCAAGTCTTTCCGCCGTCCAATCAAGAATCCCATGTGATCTAGCCCGTGCCGTCCCTCTGTCTCGGGCCAGACTGACGAATCCCGTTATATGAAAGCAAGGTAGCCCACAGGCCGACGCGGCAGTGCAGGCAGGTAGAGAAAACACGATTCCGTCGGAAAGGCGATACACGTTGGTTGTTCTGTCCACCAGTGTGTTCGCTCCCTCGAGAATACTGGTAGTACACGACGTGGCGACGCTCCTCGCAGTTTAGTGGTCCCAGATGGCGTTCTCCTTCCGTCAACCGGTGATGGTGGTGCACGACAATGCCTCCAGCGCCATCAGTCCGACGAACCGGGACCGACCTGAGGTTGAAGACGGCAGGGGCGGACATGAACCGTGGCATAGACCGAAGAAGCTGGTGCTCTGCTTCGATGGGACGGGCAACAAGTTCCACGGAGACGACAGGGACAGCAACATTCTCAAGATATTCCGTATGCTCGACAGCTCGTCAGATGACCAATGTAAGTGACTGTCGCGCGCCGCGCCCGGAGTGTTGAAAGAGACGGGGACCGGCACTGACGACAACAATGCAACAGATCAGTACTATCAACGTGAGTGAATACCGGAAAAAAAAAAGACTGCGGCGAGACGTCCAAGCCAGGGAGAATAGAGAGCTAACTCCCACTCAGCCGGCATTGGCACCTACGTCGTGTCGGAGAGCCTCTCCCACACGGGCGTGAAAGCCAAGGTCACATCGTGGTATCAGATGGCAAAAGATTCGGCCATCGGCTCGTCGTTCGACCAGCACGTGGTAGGAGGGTACCGATTCCTGATGAAATACTGCTCCCCAGGCGACGAGATTTACATGTTTGGCTTCTCCCGCGGAGCGTACGTGGCACGGTTCCTGGCGGAGATGCTAGATCACGTCGGGCTACTGGCGCACGGCAACGAGGAGATGGTCATCTTCGCGTGGAACGCGTTTTCGCAGTGGCAGTGCCGGAGGTCTAACTCGACGCCCAAGGGCAAAAAGGAGAGGGAGAAGATGTGGACGTTCCTCAAGGGGTTCCGAGAAACATTTTCCCGGCCGACCAAGCGGGTGCGGTTCCTGGGCCTGTTCGACACGGTCAACAGCGTGCCGCGGTTTGAGACGGCGTGGATGCAGCGGAGCAAGTTTCCCTTCACAGCGCGTAGTTCGGCCAAGGTGGTCCGCCACGCGGTCAGCATCGACGAGCGAAGGGCCAAGTTCCGACAGGACCTCATGTACCAGCAGCCGGGAAGAAACAGGAGGAGGCATCATGCGATGCAGGGCTTGATCGACCTCTCGCCCTTGAACGAGGCGATCCAGGGGCTGCACGAGAGGTACCGACCACATTGGCGGATGGGCGGCCCAACGGCGGAGGCGAGCGCGCGAGCGGATGGCAGAGGCAGGGACACGGTCCGGCCCGAACAAGACGGCGAGGACCGGCCAGCGCCCTACAGGAGGCATTCGAGGTCCAGATCGAGGGCGACGAGCCGGCGGGCGGGGAACGAGCCGGTGGATCACGTCTCGATGCACTCGAGGATGCCGCTGTCCGAACTCGGGTACGATTCGGACGAGGAAGACCAGGACATCGACGAGGTGTGGTTCGCGGGAGGTCACGGGGACATTGGCGGAGGCTGGGACGTGGAGGCGGGCAAGAAGAATGCGAGTCACATTCCGCTGGTATGGATGGTGCGCGAGGCCATGCGGGCGGGCCTCCGGTTCGACATTGACCAGCTGGAGGAAATTGGCTGCATCGCACGTAGCGAAATGGATGTGGACGGGGACGCGGACGTGGACGCGGACCTGCGGGTGAGAGAAGGGCCGGGGCGTAGCGTGCCGGAGATTCACGTGGACGCACCGTCGCCAGGCAGCTCGCCAGGAGGCGAGGCGAACCAGAAGAGCACGGAGGATGAGAAGGGCAACGGCGATATCGACAAGGACAACGACAACGACAACGACAACAGGGAGTATGGTGACGGGGATGACGAGAAACAGGAGACCCAGGGATACGGGCAGAAGGCCAAGGAAGCGTTCGAGGAAATGCTGTTCAGGACACACCTAGCAGACATCCACGACTCGCTCGGGTACGGCAAAGGACTGCCTCACGTATCCGTGTTCGTGTGGCGGCTGATGGAGTGGATGCCGTTCCGGCGGCTTGACTTGCAAGCGGACGGGACGTGGAAGCCCATCCGGTGGCCGCTCCCGCGAGGTGAGGTACGAGATATCCCGGACGACGTACGGGTACACGGCAGCGTGATCCGGCGGATGCAGCATGATCCCAAATACCGGCCAGGGAACCTGATCATCGGGGGCGGTGGGAGGGGCGTCAGGGTGGCACCGCCAGAGTACGGGATGGGAGAATGGATCTGCGTGCGAGGGCATGGCCATCCAATCGAGGAAGTCTGGGTGCGAAAACCCAAGGCGAAGACGGACGAGTCGTCGAGCGGAAAGTGAGACATTCGGACTGATTCGGTATGGTGGTTGGTTGTTGTGTTGTGGATGGTGACGAGTTTGGAGACAAAAGACAAACGGCAAAGGGCGGTGAGAAAAGGAGGAATGACGTGTGCGAATTCTCTTACCGGGGCTTACGTAGTATATACTTATCGCATACAGAGTGTATACGTGTACGAATTTAAGCGTATTGTTATCGAAGAATTGTCCGTTCATTACGTAATCCGTCCCTTCCAGCTTCCATTCATGGCCGGCGTCATTCCACCTGTCAAGATGAAGAGATGAAGCCCCTTAAGCTTGTTTCGTCACAAAGTGCGCTGCCATTGCTGGCAAGCCCCAAGTACTGATACCGTCGTGACGACCGTAGGGAAGTATCCGTACATTCTGTCGACGTACCTTCTTTTCTAAGGTACCTTCCGACATGCGTTCCCAAAGCGACAACTTGAGAAGGCGCACTGGAACTGCTTCCTTCCAGGTTGACGTTTCTCCGCAAAGGCCTGACAAGATAGGGCCCTCAAGATATAGCCGCAGCTCCCTCTTTTATTTGCCTTCTTTCCCTTCCTTTCTCCTCCATCGTCGACGGTATCTGCTGCGTCTTTCTGGGTGTCTCGCCTGGGACTTATTCTTTTGATCATTCGCTTTGCTATTCCGTCCATAACATCGTGTGCTCTTCGATTCATTCGTTCTGTCTTCGTCCTCCTCCGAGGCCATCTCTCCGCTATCTCTACAGACTACGACTCCCTCGATGGTCTAAGAAGACCTCCCTCTTTTCCTAGACAGTATCTTCGTGAATCGTCTTCTAGCCACTTCCAGGCGTCTCCTGAGTCCCGAGTCCTGATTCCCCCTCAAGATGGTCTCGACACCCCCGGCCGACGAACCAAACACGGTCGAGGATGCTCGCACAGCCGAGACATGGTCGAAAAACGGTAAATCGAAGGTCTAGCGCATTTTCACCGTTAATGAGTCGCGCAAGATTGGCGTCCCTGGCGCCGTTTTTCTGATCACGAACAAGATGATCGGGACCGGAAGTTCGTCTCGCCCTGGCCCCGTCCCTCTCCCTTTCTTGATCTGCCATCTGCGCCGCGACTCACCGTTCCATCTTTCCTCTTACATAGTATTCTCTACACCTTCTGGCGTCTTTGCGGCGACCGGTTCCGTCGGCATCAGCCTCATGTTCTGGGTTATCGGCGGTATCCTCTCCCTCTGCGGTCTCAGCGTCTACCTCGAATTCGGTCTCGCGATCCCTCGGTCTGGTGGCGAGAAAAACTACCTCGAACGTGTCTATCGTGAGTCTCTGACTCTCGTCCTGATACATCCCCGGATCATCCCCATAGTCCTTCTACCCCCCCCGGCTAACGTCAAGACCCAACAGGTCGCCCCAAGTACCTAGCCACCTGCGCGTTCGCATCCTACATGATCCTCTTGGGGTTCTCTTCGGCCAATGCGCTGACTTTTGGCCGCTATGCTCTCCTGGCCTCGGGGAAAGAAAGCGTCGACAGCTGGTTAGCCCGCGCCATCGCCATCCTGTGCGCGACGTTTGGCATCTTCATCCACGCCGTTGCGCCGAAATGGGGCATGCGTCTCGTCAACGTTCTCGGCATCTTCAAGCTGGCCATCCTCCTCTTCATCATCTTCTCCGGATTCGCAGCATTGGCCGGCCGCCGGCTCGTCCCGGACCCCCGCAACTTTGACGACGCGTTCCGTGTCGAGAAAGGGTATGGGTACGGCAACAACAGCGGTGCCTATGGCTACGCCATCGCGCTGCTCCGCGTCATGTACAGCTACCAGGGCTGGGAGAACGCCAACCACGTCGTGGGCGAGATGAGGAACCCGCGTCGGACGTTGGCCATGGGTGCGCCCCTCGCCGCCTGCAGCGTGATCGCTCTCTACGTCCTGGCCAATGTGGCCTATTTCGCAGCCATCCCCAAGTCGGACATGGCCACGTCCGAGGTCCTCGTGGCGGCCATCTTCTTCCGCAACATGTTCGGCGGCTACGCCGGCCGCCGCGTCCTGCCCGCTTTCATCTGCCTATCTAACCTCGGCAGTGTGCTGGCGGTCAGTTTCACGCACTCCCATCTCAACCAGGAGCTCGCCAAGGAGGGCCTCCTCCCGCTTAGCCGCTTCTGGGCCTCGAACAGGCCCTTCAAGACCCCGGCAGCCGCGTTACTCCTTCACTGGATTGTCTCCGTCGTTGTGCTCCTGGTGCCGCCCGACGGGGCCGCCTACAATTTCATCGTCGACCTCTGCGCCTACCCGGTGGCGTGGATCCTCGTCTTCGTCAGCGGCGGCCTCATCTACCTTCAGTGGAACAAGTCGGAGAACTGGACGTCGCCCTGGCACACCTTTCTGCCCATCTCCCTGTCGTTTTTGCTCGCCAACGCCTTCCTCGTCGTCGTCCCCTGGATCCCGCCGCCGGTCACCGTCGACGCGAACGGCGGCTACCCGTACTACGTCTTCCCTCTGGTAGGCGTGGGCGTGCTTCTCCTCGGCGTCGTCTGGTGGGGGTTTTAGTATAAGCTTCTGCCATATATTGGCGACTACGAGATTGTGACGGCACACGAGTTGGATGAAAAGGGGAATGAGGTGATTCGACACAGGAAGGTCAAAAGGGGCGAGTCAGACCAGCCTGAGCAGGGTCCGGTCCTCGGGGGATAAATGATCCGCGGGCAGGCGGCCCATTTTACGAATAGTGCTTTTCGGATACCCATTAGAATGTAGAATAGAAGGACAGAAAGATCCTTGAACAGTATAGCATAATTATTATGTTTTACCAGAGGTGGAGTCGACTGTCGAAGATTGGAAATTCCTCACGGCGTCCAACTCGGTGAGTCCAACTCGGTGAAGACATGACTTACCGAGCGCTTGCTCTAGACCCACTGTACCAAAGCCTCGGTGTGACGTCATAGTACATTTGCAGTCCATGACCACCCACCACTCCCACCTACCCTCTACCATCTACCCTCTCCCATCTACCCTCTCCCATCTACCCTCTCCCATCTACCCTCTCCCATCTACCATCTTATGCAAGTTCAACAGCAAAGACGAATTCATCAGCTAAAATCTTGGCTTTCCCTTGTGTTTCACGCCTAGGTCATCTTGCATCCAATATCCATCCACCCATTCCCACCTCTCCCCCCCCCCAACGAGCTCGTGTGGGATCATCTGCTGTGATCTTCACGTTTCCCAACTCAAACTTGGCTGCATCTACACGTGTACACTAGAAAACTGCGTCACTCCACAGCTTACATCATTCCACATGCCCCCAGCTTTCCCAACCAATCTCGCATCAAGGAGGCCAACTGCGATTAAAGTGGCTGGGTGAGACCATGTCCGCTGTGTAAATGAGATGAAAAACACGACGATCACCCTCGACAAAGACACAATAACGAAGCATTATGATACGAATTTTGCTCTTCTTATTCTCTTCCTCTAGAGTGTAAGATCATCGATCATCGCCATTACTCTGCATCGGGTCGATTCGGTCCATCTCCCGCTCGACGTTACGACCCGGCTCTTCTCCTCTTCTCCTTTTCTACCCCGGCCACAAACATACAACTTTTGAACGACCAACGAAACATCACCGACGACTACCACCGCATCTCATCTCGCGTTGCACGGTAACCTACGCCTACAGACTCTCGTCTTGCACCCTTCCCTACCATGCCCGCCCGAGATCGTCGCCATCGGAGGCGCGAGCCCGAATGGTCACAACCCGACGGAGACTACGACGACTCCCCCCGCCCCCCATCCGGCCGTCACGGCAATGGCGCCCCAGACTACGAATATGTCGACGCCGACAGAGGCTACCATACTTCGCCTCCTCGTCGCCGGGGGCCCTACCCAGATTACGAAGAGGACCCCTCCCCGCCACCTCGTCATCGCCGCGACCGAACCCAAGATCGGCCCAGAGACGACAAGGACCGAAGCAAAAAGGACTCCCGCCGCTCCCGGCATAGCCCTTCCGCTCCTCGCTCTCACCGTTCCCACTCTCTAGAACCACCGCGCCGCCGTGGCCGCCGAAAAAACTCATACGCCGACTCGTCCTCCGACGAAGACGACGACCCCCACCACGTACGTGACGTACCCCCCTCTGGCCCCTCCGCCTCCTCGTCCCATCGCCGCGCAGCCAGCGACACCCGCCACCGACCCCGCGGAAGCAACAAATACTACCCCCCACGCACAAGCGACAACAAACATCGCAGCAGCCGCCGCCACCACGACGACCGCGGTCGAAACCGACGCCGTCACGATCCTTACGACGACGACGACGACGACGACGACGACGACGACTCAAGTGACGAAGACGCCGGCTACGGCCGCGGCGGCCGCCGCCACAGCGACCACCGCAGGGCCCGGTCCGCGTCAGCGTCGTTCAACTCCCCGATGGACAAGGACAAGATCGTGGCGGCGGGGAGCGCGGCGCTGGCGGCGTGTGCGTCGGAGGCGTGGAAGCTGCGCAAGGACCGGTCGAATTGGGCGCAGAAGGGGACGAAATTGGCCTCGGCGGCGGCGGGGGCGGCGGCCATTGCCGCGTTTCGGGATCGGGACCAGCAGGAGCAGCAGCAGCAGGGGCATGGCTATCCCCCTCGTGGGTATGGAGGGTATGGGGATGAGTATGAGTATGAGAGGCCGAAGAAGAGGGGGAGGGTGAAGGCTATGCTGGGGGGGCTTCTGATGAACCGGTTCGCTTCTGCTGCGAGGAGGTGAGGTTCAGGGATGATGGCGGGGGTTTTGGACAGTTAGTAGGAGCACATATTGTTAGTATGGGAGGCACTGGTGTCGAAGGCGCGTTTTGGTCTGATTTGTAGTATTGTATACCTAGATATGATGAATGTTATGAGTGCGGACATAGCTTGAGCATACATGTACAATAAAAGCATCATTTCATCTTTTCAGAGGTCCCAGTCGGTTGCCATCAACCCACAGGCTGCCAAGGAAGGTATACTGCGTCTCTGGAGTCTAGACTGGAATCAATCGTCGCATGAGACGGTAAAAGCAACCAGCTGGGAGATTCTGAAGCGTCTCCAATCATCTCATATACATCGAATCGTCACCATCGCCGTCATCGACATCATCGACCATCACCATCGCAAAACCATGGAAGTTATTTACCTGTACAATACTCACAGTCCCATCTTGCAGCTCACGTAGTAGCATGACATGCATTGGCAGTTGTCGTCCCCCCTCCATCCAACGATGCCCTAGGGGGTCGGCAGCAAACATCTCCAAGGGGCGGAGACAAGCTTTCCTAAGACGGAGCCGTCCCGGAGGTAAATGAATATTCGTAGATAATAGCGTCAACCACGGCCCAATGCCGGGGCGCGATGCACCGCAGCATCAACTTTCTCCGTAGGTAATCCGGGAGCTAACTCTGTCACGTCACTCCAACTTCAACTCACTTACCTCGTCCGTTTTCTCCTGTCAGCCCACGGGCGGCGGGGCCTTCGGACTGCCCCGTGTTAGCAGACACTGTGACATCCGTGAGTCTAGTCTGCAGTCCATGGGAAGACATGCAGGGACCTCATGAACTCAGTTGACGGCGACAGGTCCAGCTCCGCGGGTCCGGGCAGTCTACTGATCATCCATATGGCCCGTCCCATCTGGCGAGTCTCTTCCCACTTACCTCCTCCCCCTCGTCCTCCTCCTCCCAATCCTCTACGTCGTCTATATATACCTTCTTCGCCCCGCCACCTGGTCTCCATCTCAAATCTTCTCTCAGTCAACACCACAGACATTTTGACTGCTTCACCATCAAACAACCGAAGAGAGAGACGTATACATCCCTTTTTGAGAAAGTCATCGCCACAACCGCCAACATGCCGATGTACAAGACTGGAGACCAGGTCCGCTACAAGCCCGTCGGAGGTCTGTCCCCTCCCTGTCGTTCACGGAAAACCATCAACTAACACCCCTAACACCCCACAACAGGCCCCGAGTCCCAGACCTCCGAGAGCACCGGCATCATCAAGGACGTCCTGACCGAGCCCGGCCGCCAAGCCCAGCGCAACGTCCAGGCCAGCGAGGAGGAGCCTCGTTACGAGGTATGTCTTCTGTCCTTGTTTACATGACATTTGTTTCGCTAGGACATGTGAGTACTGATATGCAACGACATAGATCGAGAACAGCAACACCGGCAAGACGACCACCATCTTCGAGAGCAACATCCTTGGCAGTGCCTAAGTAATTCGACTTGTTTGGGGACTTGGCACGATGTGCACAACCCCGTGTTTCTGTTGTGGATTGGGACGTCGATATTTGGTTTGGGATTGTGAAAGCTTGTATGATAGGACGGGTCTTGGTAGGAAAGTAATGAGCAGTGTTCCAGTGGCGCTTGAAATGATTGTTGCGCGGACTTCTATTCCTTCTATGCTGTTCTTTGTGCCTGCCTGTCATGGCATTATAATATGATGAGTATAGTGAAAGAGGAATTGACTGGCCGTGCTTCCCTTCGCTTCTTTCTTATGCAACCACGGATGCTGAATATAAAGTGCTTCTTGAAAAGGGGGTAACGCGACTGAAGAAAACAACGGCCGGCGTTGTCGAAGAGGGATCGGATCGTTTGGAGCTGATAACCGACTCTTGCAGAGCAGCACCCAATGTTCGGTTGGTCGGCCGGGGGGGATGCCATGAATCGTCTCGTCACGAGGCTCGTCATGAAGAAACCGGGGCGTAGACGAATTCCTCCAACTCCTTGTACGCCTTCTCCAGGTCGTCGTTGACGATAATAGTATGATGCACGCCGGTCTTGGCGTAGGTAATTTCTTTCTTGGCCTGCGCGAGGCGTTTCTGAATCGACTCCTCCTTCTCGGTCGCCCGGCCGCGTAACCGGCGCTCGAGTTCCTCGTCGGACGGCGGCGCGATGAACACGTATCGGGCGTCGATGGAGCTTTTCTGCACTTGCTTCACGCCCTCCATCTCGATGTCCAGGACCACCGCCTTGCCCTTGGCTGTCTGCTCCTCGATGGTCATCTTGCTCGTGCCGTACAGGTTGTCGCCGAATTGGGCGCTGTAGGACGTGAAAAGATGTATTAGTCTTGGTTTCCCCGCGCATTGTGAGCTCGGAGAATGGGACGAGGTAGAGGAAAACGGCATACTGCTCGACGAATCCACCCTTGGCTACCAGGTCAAGGAATGTCTCCTTGCTGACGTAGTGGTAGTCGACGCCATGCTGCTCGCCCGGCCGAGGGCTTCGCGTTGTGTGGGATACGGAGAGAGTGAAGGTGTCGGGGTGGCGGCTGAAGAGGAGCTTGTAGAGGGTGCCCTTGCCAACCCCCGAGGGGCCGGAAATGACGATGGGTCGACGGTCGGGAGGGAGATCGGGAGCCATTTTATGAAAAGGGCGCAAAGCTATCGGCCGGATGGCGCTTCGGAGGGGGAGGTATGCAGGGAAACGGGGAGTGAAGCACCGCAACATTGTCGAAAAGCCCAGGAAAAGAGGATGCACGAATTATTTTTGGGGCGGGTCCCGCAGGTCATAATGGCGGGGCTGATAACAACCTGGAATGGGGACTTGCATTCATCTTATCGATAACGATAAGATATCAGATAAGGGAAAGACCGGGAGTAAGGTAATTATACGTACCCAAGCTATTCGGACATTTTTTTGTTCTCCAGAATGCCTCCAGAACCGTGACGATACTTTTCCGCTTCGAAAGCGCACCCTTTCTCCCACATTCTTCCCTTTGGTTCGGTTATTCTTCTAGATGTGGCTTGCCCTTCGTTATGTGCGGGCAACTTTACCAATTCCTTGTCGCTTAGCGACGACACCGACACCCTCGTTCCGATGCGCCGCCTCCACCCTCACCAAGGACCTGCTCAAAGCATCGACTCCTGTTGCAGAGAAGCTTGCGAATACCGACCTCTGGTCGCATCAGCCCCGGAGAACGGCCGCGAAGAAGCAGACGACCAAGTCCAAGACCAAGACAAAAACGTCGTCCCGATCAAAAATCAAGGCGGTCCAAAATGAGAAACCGTCGAAACCGTCAGGCGACAGGTCCCGAGTGAACATTGTCAGCGAGAAGCTTTGCGGTAGGTGTGGCGGCAACTAGCCGACCATTTCTCTGTCTTAGGCCGGCAATCTACTGCCGGACCCCCGAGCTGACATGACGGGACGCTCCCCCAGATGACATTGTCAACTACATCGGTCCCAGTCTGAAGCGTCACGTCGGATGCGACCTCCTCGACATCAACCCCGGCGCCGGCGTCTGGAGCAAGGCCCTCAACGACGCCCTCCAGCCTCGGTCGCACATCCTGATGGAACCCGACGCGGAATTGTACAGACCGTTTCTCGAACCCCTGCTTTCCAAACCCAATACGCGCCTCGTCCCGCACTCGGGCATCCTGTGGGACGAGCTACAGACGGCCATGGGCTACCTGGAGCACCAGGTAGAACAGCGCCCAAGCGACCCTTCGGTCGACCCGCGGCGCAACGACACACTCCTTGTCACGGCCAACCTGTCGTACTTCCCCAAGCGACGGTTCCGCAACTTCGACTCCATCGCCGTGCTCGTGCTCTACCAGCTCCTGACCAGCGTGCGGTTCGGCTCGCTCTTCCAAAAATACGGCCTCGTCCGCATGCTCATCTGGGTCAACGACGACGACAAGCGCACCTTCCTCCCCCGGTGCCTGCAGAACCGCAAGAAATCCGCCCTCCAGGCCGAGTTCGCGTGCGAGTGGCTGGCCGAGGTGGCGGGGAAGGACCCCGCCTCGCTGCAAGTGACGCCGGAGCAGCTCCGCAAGCTCTACCTCCGCGACAAGTGGATCAACGTCGACAGCGCGCGCGAGGCCCTGGCGCGGGCCAAGGCGAACGGCACCGGGCTGCCGCCGCCGCACCGACGGATGGAGCTCACGGACGAGGTGATCCGGCGGTACAAGGGCCGGACCAAGTCGGCCGCCGAAGCGGCGCAGGTGCGGCCGTCGTACATCGAGCGGCCCTACATGGCGGAGCTCGAGGCGCTCGACCGCGCCGCCGCCGCGGGCGAGCTGAACCCGGACGACCACCCCAAGGAGTGGGCGCGGCGCGCGGCGCTGCGGGCGCAGGCGACCAAGCAGGAGAAGTGGACGGCGCGGTTCCGCGAGCTGCTGCAGGAACTCGACGACCTGACGCGGCTCCGGGCCGCCGGGGCGCTGACGGCAGCGGAACTGGCGGCGCGCGAGGCCAGGTACAACGAGGAGGTGCAGAACCTGGGGAAGAACCCGCTGATTGATTTCCGGCTGCTGCGCGATAATGCGCACGTGTACCGGCAGAGGCCGCCCGTGCTGCTGTGGGACCGACGACCCTGGGAGCCCCTGCGGGTGGCGGACCACGAGTTCTTCCCCAACGTGGAGACGGCGCTGCTGGACGTGCAGCCCAAGGCGATGCACCGGCTCCTGCGGGAGGCCGGGCCCGGGTCCAGCCGAGCGGGCGACATGTTCGACCTCATTCAGCGGTCCATGCTGACGACGTCGCTGGAGCCGGTGAGTGCGTCGCTGGACAAGCTGTGGCCCGGGGCGCGGGAGGGGATCCTGGAGCGGTGCCCGAGCCTGCGGGACCCGGCGAGGGGGGGTCTGCCGGGCGACGGGCACGCCGGGGTGTGTGCGAGGGTGCTGAACGAGGCGCAGTGGATGGAGATTTTGGAGGGGTTTATGGAGTGGCCTTTTCGGCCGACGTATGCGGAGCTCATTGGGCGGCACGGGGATGACATGGAGATGCCGGAGCCGGAGGGACAACACGGGCCCGAGTTTGTGGCTTGATGCGTGGTCATTTAGACTCTGTTGTATATGTACATTGTGCGATACATGATAGACGGCGCGCATTATGTAGATTGTACGATGGACGATAGGCTTAGGTACCTTAATAAGTATAATAATACCCGGACCTTAATTAGTGGGATTTGATTCCAAAATAGAACAACGGGTCTTAATCCGAGCCATTAAGATTATACCTACTACTTACTGCCTTTAATTGACGAGAGGAGTTAAAATAGGGAGCGTATAAATAGCAGACACCTTTGAATATCTAGCAGGCAAAATATATATATATACAAAGGTAAGTTTCTTTATATGCTAAATGCCTCCTAATATCGGGGTCTTGCCTACGTAGGTATAAGCAGTAATATTTTAGACGTAGCTCTTAATTCGTAATAACAGTTAATTAACTAAGGTAGCTAATAATAGCCTTAAAGGTCCGTAGGGGTAACAATCGGACTTTATTTGTACCGGACTAATGCGCGCTAAAATCCGTGACTTCTTATTGCCTGACAGGGGCTATGCCAGCTGTAGGACCCGCTTGACACCTGGCCTGGAGGAACCAATGAGGAACTGCTCTATTAGCGGGCCCGTAACCTAAAACGGGAAGGGAGTCGTGACTTCTAGAGGTATTAGGTCTTGTACCTCTGCCCTGGTCAGTATACTTTTTGTACCTGCCCCGCTATAGGGGGTCTGAACGTACCCACTCTTTAGTGGATTCTACGCTAAGAGGTCCGATATTTACGCCTGTAACCGTTGTAGCCTCCTTAAGGCCTTTTCTATCTCCTTACGTATATGTAAGTCTCTATCTAATTAACCCTTAAATAGACAGAAATCTCGCCCTCGCGATCCCTAGTCGGGTTACTCTAAGTCTCTTCCAGTTCCTATTCTTCCAAAGATTCCTCTTCGAGAAGTAAGGTATATATAAAATATCACTGCTTATACCTCTATACTAGGACCCCGGTAAATATAGGTAGTTAGTATATAAAAGAACCTGCCTCTGTATTTGTATATTTTACCTGCTGGATATCCAGATATACCTACTATTTATACACTCCCTTAAATTAATTCCTACGTAAAAAGCTTAAAAACGACGTTATAGTTATTTACTATCGTTATAACCGTACGTATATTGTGGCTGTGTGTGGAAGATAGGATTCCGAAAAAGGAAACTTATGGGTCCATGACCGAACTATAATCGGAATAACGGCTCTCTCCATAAATTGACGATTCATCGGAGTGTCCACCTCGAGCCATGCCAATGTACCTGAGGTCTACTGGGTATCTGTGTCTCTTCCTTTCCCGGGCGTCGGGTGGGGTACCCTCGGGACCAAGAGTACTTTATTCAGGGGGAAATTTCGCATGCGTTCATAGTTCATAGTTCAACCTCTATTCGTTGGCCTTGTCCACATCCATTACCATTACATTCCCGTCTTGGTCTCCGTGCCGCAAGCACCAACAGGACACTGGACACTGGCACCCGGCAGGCATTCAGATCAAACAACTGCCAGTCCATCCTCTTCAGCATCCTTCAACTCCACACGAATCTTGACATCTTCACCGCACCCGAATGTCATCGATCTTCTTCAGGCGTCCTCTATGGCCTACGACCATCCTGCGACCATCCGATCTTTGACATCTGTCGGCCCTGTCCCATCTTTCCGCTTCTGTCAAGCCGTCACTGGCCTGTGGCTGCCCCCATCGCAAATGTCTTGAGCTCCCGCTTCGACGTCCCCTCTTCTCCAGATTTCGAGAGTTGGACCCTGGCTTCCTCCCTCCAGCCGCAAGGGAGTAGAAACAAACCTCCCACCATGGTCACCTTGTTGCCGGCCTTTCCTCCTCGCCGTGTCTCGGGCATCCTGCGCTGCACCATCGCCGCCGTCTTCCTTCTTTGCTGCTTCTACTACCTCAGACTAGGCGACGACCCTCTTCCCTCCCGCTCACGCATCGAGTACTATACACCCCCGTCACCTGCGCCCCTTGACAAGCCGGCCGTCCGTCCAGATACCCAACCCTCGATCCCCGAGTCCGACTCGGGCGACCACAACGATGAATACGTCAACGGGGCCCTGGCGGAATCGCTCCCGAAACCCGTCTCCGACTCCAACTCCAATTCCAACACCGACCGACCAAAGACCCCACCGAAACAGAAACCGCACCACCCAATCGACACCCTCATAGCCGAAGCGGACACAACATTCAACCAACTGCTCGCCAAGGAATCCAAAACCGTCGGCGCCGCCGCCGAAGCCTACCGCAACCGCCGCGGGCGCCACCCCCCGCCGGGGTTCGACTCGTGGTACCACTTGGCCGCGGAAAAACGCTCGCTCGTGATCGAGGACTTCTTCGACCAGATCTACCACGACCTGGAGCCCTTCTGGGCGCTCGACCCGGCGCTGATGCGCAAGGAGGCCGCCGCCTTCGACCAGTTCATCACCGTGCGCGACGGCGCCGCCAACACCACCAGCGAGTGGTTCTGGACCGAGATCTGGCTCGACCTCGTCGTCTCCCTGCAGCACCTGCTGCCGGATATGGATATCGCGCTGAACCCCATGGACGAGCCGCGCATCGTCGTGCCGTGGGAGGAGATGGCCAAGTATGTCAAGCGGGCGGAGCAGACGAGGACGATGCCCCGGCCGCAGGATGTCATTGCTAGTTTCCAGACGTTGCCTCCGCGGGGGAAGGTCGAGCCTACGGTGAAGATACAGCGGAAGCAGTGGGATAAGACGAGTATGTTGTCCATTTGTCTTTTCTTTTTTTCTTCTTCTTTTTTTTCTTTTTTTTTCTTTTTCCCCTTTTCTTTTAACGTCGCGTTCCGTTTTGCTTTACCGTTTACGCCATCCCCGCAACCTTATCTTCTTTATTCTTCTTTTGGATTGTCCAATCTAAGGTTCTTATGTGCCCTTGCTGATGGACCGCCACAGAATTCTACTGGAAACTCGCCCGCCAAGGATGCCCGCCCAACAGCGCAGCCCGCACAGCACCCCTTCGATCCGAGGCCAGCTTCGCCGAACCACCCAACATGTCCATGACCAACGCAGCACCGCACCTCCGCGACGGCTACGTCGCCAACTCGTCCCTGGCCAAGGAAATCTGCCACCAGCCCGACCTGCAAGGCCTCAACGGCATCTTCATCGAGCCGCTCTCGACGTCGACCACCAAGGCCCTCTTCCCGCTGTTCGGGGGGTCCAAGCTGGCGATCAACAACGAGATCCTCCTCCCCGCGGCCATGTACTGGAAGGACGAGGAGCGGTTCACGGGCGGCGCGTACCACGGCGAGGGCTGGGCGACCAAGGAGGACGGGGTGATCTGGCGCGGCGTGGCGACGGGGGGGCGCAACCGCGCGGGCAACTGGCCCGGGTTCCAGCGGCACCGGTTCGTCAGCATGAACAACGACACGCTCGTGTCCGGCGTGGAGGACGGGCAGTGGCGGCGGGCGGTGAATTTCGCGTTTCCGGAGCCGATGTACCGGGTCGCGGCCCACGCGGCGGGCAAGCTGGGCGAGTGGCTGGGGACGTGGGCGAATGTGGCGTTCACGGACCTGATGTGCGCCCCGGAGGGGGAGACGGAAGGGGGGGGCTGCGGATACGCGAGTCCGTATTTCCTGGTGGCGCAGGGGTTGACGATGGCGCAGCAGTTCATGCACAAGTACCTGCCCGACGTGGATGGAAACAGCTTCAGCGGGCGGTACCTCGGCTTTCTGCGCAGCACGAGCTTGCCGATCAAGGCGACGGTGTGGAAGGAGTGGCACGACGGCCGGCTCGTGGCGTGGAAGCACTTTGTGCCGATGGACAGTCGGTTTGGTGATTATTACGGCATCATGGAGTATTTCCTCGGGTACGGGGACGAGGTGGCGGGCCATGACGAGGAAGGGGAGAGGATCGCGAGCGAGGGGAAGGCGTGGGCGGAGAAGGTGTTGAGGAAGGAGGATATGCAGGTTTACATGCTGCGGTTGCTGTTGGAGTATGCGAGGGTCGTGGACGATGAGAGGGACGTGATGGGGTGGGTGGAAGATCTGACTTCCGAGGACCTGGGAGACAATGGAACGTCTCCTTGAAGGTCTACATGGGAAGAAGGAAGGAAAGAAAAGAAGAAGAAGGAAGAGAAGGGCACTGCATCATACCGAACATGAATACGGCAAGGGAAGTGTCGCCAGACGACGGCGAGGCTACGACAAGATCATGGCTGGGGACAGCCGACGAGGCGTCTGGGCGTTGGACGAGGATATTCCCCTTCTCATTTTATTGAATCTTTTCATTTTCTCAGCTCGAGACGGGCTTGTATAAAGCGTCATCATTGCAGAGGTCGGCATTTGCATTTTGTACTGCGTTCTCTTCTTATTTCTTGTTTTTGTTTTCCCCCCCTTCTTCTAGGACGTCAATGCACGTCAAGTCCCCGGATACCTGTGATGACTGGGCCTTATACTTGTCGAAGACTTCTATGATAGTGCGGGTAATAGCTACTCTCTGGTCGTCCTGTTCCTCGACGATACCACGAAGGTGCGCGTTCTGTTGATGTAATAGGTTCAGCCGGCGCTGATGGGAAGCTTGCATAGGGTCGTACGAGTTGCCACCTCTAACAGGCTCCGGGGCTCCCCCACCCGAGACGTCGAGGGAACGCATTGATAAGTCTCTGGCGCAAGGTCTGTCATAGGACGTTAATGCGAGAAAAACTCAGCCTGTTTGAGGATACTTCCAAGTATGCACCCTTCTGCGGGTCGCGAACAGAAGAGTGTCGTATACAAGAGCCCTTCAATGTTGGCGAAGAGGCACTGGTAGGGGGCCAGCCATCTCACGGGGTATGCAGCTGACTCTGTCCTCCGCGGCCCAGAACCCAAGGGACCTACCTGCCTGTGGTATGTCAACATTTCAGACGGTTGTATTAGGATACGAAGGGATTAAGCTGGTTGGTCTCTTAAGACCCTATGTCTTGTATCATACATATCCGGCATCGCCGTCTGGGCACCTCACCGACTCAGGCTGCAAAAGCCATGTTTTTTATAGCATCTTATATCTAATATCCCTTTCAGCAGTTGCATATGGCACTCGTCTTCTGTCACAGAAACGCGAAAGACACCGGAAGTCATGGAGAAACCGGAGGAGATATGTCTTTATTCGGCCGTGTCTAAACTAGTTCCTGTCCCATACTGAATTCGAGGGTAGGATCTGTGCTTTTGGCTACGTGAAATCAGAGCGCCAGCAGAGGGCTTCGACTATTGTTTGCCTTTGCTCGACAAACTCAGCCTAGGTCCTATCCTCTCATCGAGGCTTGAGAAACGCGAAACAACGATTGGCCGCCCCATGAACCAACTAACTACACTTTGTCATCCGTCAACTCGTCATCGTGTAACAACATTGAACTCTTGGAGGTGGAATGAAAACATCAAGGTTGAACATTCAAACAGTTCAGCCGTTGAAGCTGACATGCATGTGATCCCTATTCCTGTTGTGAGCAATTGTCGTGCCAAGCTTAGCCTTTGGGAAAATGAGTAAACTTACCAGTGGTTCTGGGTAATGCTGCCACGGTCTTCCTGAGAGCGCCACTGGTTCCAAGGCATAACCCGATCGACGGAAGGGTTCCAGATCCTCTGACCCCAGATGACGTACTTGAGGTTCAGCGTACCGCGGTTGTTCATAACCCACTCGGCCATCTCCCTCCCTGAAATAGTGGCCGCACCACCGCTATCGCTGATCATAAAGTCGATAGCGCGCCCGCAGCAGTGGTCGCTGCTACTGCTAGTGCACGTGCAGTTACGGATGCAAAAGTACTCGCGCGTGCGCCCGGGGAACCGGCGGGTAACGGCGGCGGCGCCGTTAATAGCGACCTGCCGGCACGACGACGAGCTAGGGAGCGGCGGGTTAGAGTACCCGCCCCATCCAAGCGCCGAGGAGCTGCAGCACCTCATGCCGGAGGGGCCGGGGCACTGGTTAGTTACGGTACTGCCGGCGCAGTCGGAGACCCAGCGGCAGTTGCCGTTAGAGCCGTTGGAGCACCTGGGTTTAGAGCAGCATCTGATGTCGGCGGGGTCGCGGGGGCAGGCGCCAGTAATGGAGGTGCCGCCGGCGGATGCGCAGGCCGTAGTGGAGACGCAGACGCCTAGCAGGGTGAAAAGGGGGTTTCCTTTATTAGTCTGACCAGACTAGTCTCGGAGAAGATGATAACGACGGGAAAGGGAAGCAGCAGGCATAAGAGCATAACGTACCAGCGACGCCATTGGAACCATAGCAAGGTTCGTTGATGGCGGCCATGGCCGTGGTGGCCGCCGCCAGGGCGAAAAGAAGATGGCGAATGTGCATGATGATCTAGCCAAGGCGCGCAGAGATGCAACTGATAAGATGTGATGTGATGGTGTACTTCTCAGTGTTTCCGGCCTCGTTTGGAAAGCCGTCGATCTCCTTGTAGTCAAGGGGCTCTTGAAAACAAACGGATTGGGAGGGAGAACAGGTCCCCTTTTTATATTCCTGGTCCCCAAATCGATGATCCCCAGAATCTCTCCAAAGACGTTATCTCTTTCGTCCCAACCACGACAAACCAGTCACGATCCCCCCTCCTCCCCCGGGGGTGCGCGGCCCAGTCCGTCTCGAACAACAACTCATGATCGGCGCAAGCCGTCAAGACCATCCAACGCTGGAACGTCACAGCGTGCATGCTCCAATACTTACATACGACTACTCTCTCAGTCCGTTCCGGATGTGCTTGGCCAGCGGTAGGGACCTACCTCCACCTATGACACTCCAACCTGCCCTCTTCCTCTTTGGAGATCAACAAGAATCCAGCCGCTTTCATCTGCCACCATCCCACTGTAGAGCTTACCACGTCCGCCGGGAGCCTGCGCCACGCCGTCGGAGGAGGGAGGGGGGGGACGGGAAGAGATATTAATCCCCCGAGATATCTGCGGTGAGCCTTTTCCCCGTTTGGCAGCTCGGTTGTGACCTGGATGACGGACGTGAATTCTGGATCCACTGGGAAGTCTGGGGAGGGGATCCGGAGGTGCCCGCAAGACTCACGGGGCATGTATAATCTAGACTATAGCGCACGTCTGGTGTTTTCGTTGACCTATTACGGTGGGGAGGCCACTATAGTCTATGCAGTCTTCTTCGGGCAGGTGGTGTTGGGTTGATGATCATGGAAGATTTGGCTGGGTATGAGAATTCCCCATATCTGGAAGGCGGAAGCCCGAAGTGGGGGGAGGGGGGGTGGGGGAGGACGGGCGGCTGCATAAAATGATTAATAAGGGGGACCCATAGTTTTGAACAGAAAACAGGGGGGGGGGGGGGGGTTTTTAGGGGGGCGGGGGTTTGGGGGTGGGGGGGGGGGGGGGGGGGGGGGGGGGGGGGGTTTTTAGAGAGGCTCGGGTTATAGAGTCTGGGGTGGTGGGAGGTGGTGGGAGGTGGTGGTTACTGGGGGCCCGAACCGTTGGTTCTTGGCATCAGGCCTGTACGACACGATGCAGTATCCTAGGCCGCGAGAAGAGACATGTTCAGTGGCTCGTAAGGGTCTTGTCTTGTTTTATTAGGAAAGTCAGTCCTCTGCACTATGAATCGTGCCTTCGACTGCTTATAGTTCCCTCAGTGACCGTCTGCCACTGCGCCCTCCTTTCTACCTCCTTTCACTGTCGGACCATCTTCCTCTCGAGTAAGAAATCTCGGAACGCAGCAGCGATAAAGAACGGGAACTTTCCTTCCGTTGGATAAACTGTACTCAATCAAGAGTCCAACCTTTCTGCTTTGAAATCATGGGACGCATGGATCGCAATCCGACCCGTATCGATCATCTCACGCAGTATTGGACTCGGGGTGCTGGGGGGAGTGTAGAGATCACATTCCATCTATAAAGACTGGAACGACTCTTGCGACAGACCGTTGCCTCAACTATGGCTCAGATCGTTGGCAGAGTCGCCATGCGTTAGGTCGGACGGTAGGAAGATCAATCATCGTTGTTCTCCGCTGCCAGTCAAACGCTGAAGGATAACGCTGGGGATCGGCCGCAACGCGACAGGCCTTACGGGGCGGCCGTGGTGCGCATGGGGACAGAGTCTGCGTCGTTATACTCGCAGCGGATGTTGAGTGCCCGGTTGTGGACATGGGAACAAAGAAACAACTTGAAGTCATACTCGGCATGGCAGAGTTCGTCAAGGAGGTTGACCAACTCGGCGTGAGGACGAAAACAAGTGCTTGGACAAAACAGCTACCCGTGCCACACCCCACGTATAGCAGGGCGAGGGCGAGGACGAGGGCGAGGACGAGGACGAGGACGAGGTTATTCACACGTAAATCTAGTAAAAGGCAACTCGACCTAGTTTGGATCTTAGTCGAGGAATAAACGTGGCTATCCATAGCAGGAAGATTATATTACATGTAATACCGAAACGAGCGACGATATCGCCAATTGACTATAAAGCGCTACCGAATGGCGTTCCTTACCTGCGTTCTACCCAAGTCGAAGCATTATAGTAGCCGAAGAATGCCCTCGATCCTTCCCCGCGCCGCTCCCTCCGGTGAGCTCGACTTGTCCTCGGCCAGAAACTGCAGTTCGTCCCAGATGCTCTGGAACTCCTCCTTGGAATGACTGCCCATGAGCATCCGCACTATGGCCTCGTTCCCGCCACGCACCGCCGCGCTGATGGCTCCCACGAGCGACCAGCGCCCGCTCGCGGCCGGGGCACCCTTGGGCCCTGAGGAGAGCCATTGCAAAAGTAGCTGGACGCATGCCTCCTTGCCGCTCTCCGCAGCCAGCCGAAGCGCGTTCACTCGCCCAATGTCCACGGCATGCAGGTCTTCGCCGGAGAGCCTGGGGATGAGCAGCTCCAGCATCGCCAGGTTTCCGCGGCTTGCTGCTACATGCAGCGCTGTCCTGCCGTCTTCTGCCCTCGCAGCCGCAATCTCGGGGCAGTGACGCAACAGGACCTCCGCCATCTCGAGATGATCGCTGGCCACTGCTATGTGCAGGGCGGTAAACCCGGCGGCCGAAAGGTCGGCCATGTGCTCCCTCGGCCACCGGCGGCAGAGGGCCTCCACCGTCTGTATGTGCCCGCCTTGGGCGGAAAGGTGCAGCGCTGTCTCCTCGGAATACGTTGTGACGGTGACGAAATCTTGCGGTAGCCTTTCCATCAAAACTTGAACGTCGCCCGTGCGTCCGCTGGCTGCAGCGTCGTGGAGGGGCGCCGCGGCGAACCAGGCTACGGTGTCCCGGTCTGCATGGGGTAGGCGCTCTCCGAGGATCCGCTGCATCGCCGCGAGCTCGGCGTCCACCCTGGACACCTGGAGGTTGTTGTCGCTGATATGGACAGAGCGAGGCCTGCCGGGGATTCTGTCGTCCAGGAGCTTCAGCACCGCCGCGCATTTTCTCCGTGCTGCCAGCTCAAAGACCGTTCTGCCCGAGGCCGTCTTGGCAGAGACGTATTTCGGCGGCCAATGGTCCAGCAGAGCCCCGACGGCTTCGGAATTTCCACTTTTCACCGCGAGATGGAGGGCTGTCTCCCCACGGGACGTCTTGGTGGTTAATTTCTTCGGCGGCCAGCGTTCCAGTAATAACCGGATGCTTTCGGCATATCCTCCTTCGGCCGCGAGGTGGAGTGCAGTCTCAGCCCAGTCTTTCGTCGTGGCAGTCAGGAGCTTCGGCGGCCAGCGGGTCAAGAGTTGGTGAAGGGACTTTTCGCTTGCCACGGCAAGGTGAAGCGCAGTATGCCCTGCGTCTGACGGAGCAATAATATCCTCTAGGGGCGTCCAATCCAAAAGGGTCTCGAGGGCCTCGGCCGAGCCTGGCTGATGATTACTACACACGGAATAGAAAGCCTTCGTGCAGGCGTCCCTTTCGATGGTTCTGCGCTCCTTTGGCCACAAGTCAACGAGCAGGCTGAATATGCTCGGGTCGTGGCACGCCGTACGGAAAAGCAGTGAATCTTCATCCGAGACTTCGCTAGCAGCAATTAAGAGCTCCGGGGACCATCGATCCAGAAGGACCTTGACGGCTTGGGTGTTCATCCTCAGTACCGCGATGTCTAATGCCGTCTCTCCTTCTGACGTCCGAGCTGTGATATGTTCCTGGGGCCAGCAGTCCGCCAGTAACTCGATGGTCACGCAACCTCTGTCGCCGGCAGCAAGATGAAGTGCGTTTTCGCCGGACCCGGAAAGGTCAGCGAGCTGTTCGCGGGGCCAGCGGCCTATTAGGGCTCTGACGACTTCGAGATTTCCTCTTCGCGCTGCGAGATGAAGGGCAGTATCGCCAGCGCGCGACTGGGCGGTAATGTGCTCTTCCGGCCAGAGACTAAGCAAGAACTCGACCGCTTGCAGGTTCGCGTTACGCGCGGCGTGATGGAGGACCGTCTTTCCAGACCGATCGCGGGTGTAAATGCTTCCATCCGCCACGTACTTGTGCAGGATGGTCGTGATCGGTGCCTCAAACAGGCACCTGGCTGCCAGACCCAGCGCCGTGCTCCCAAGCCTGTCCTCAAGTCTGAGAGTGGCAGAATCCATTTCTTCCAACAACCATTGAATGACCATAGGATCATTCCGGGCCACCGCCAGATGCAAGGCTGTCTGTCCCCACATGTCTTGTGCGCGGATCATGTCGAGATGCAGCTTCAGATTCAGGAGGACCCTGACCACGCCTCTCTGGTTGTTTCGGATGGCCACGTGAAGACAGTTTCTTCCGGATGAATCCGTATCTGCCAACGACGCTCCCTCAGTTCTAAAGGCGTGCAGCATAAGCTGAAACGTCTGCATGTCCCCGACCTCTGCAGCCCAGTGGAGCAAGGTTCGACCGTATTGGTTCCTGCTGGATATATTTTGCTTTGCGTTTCTCATCTCTGAGATGCGATTTCTCGCCATACATATGGGAGCTGGTCGGCCGTCCGGAAGCGGTCTATTTCGCTCTGGTGTTGGTCTCGCGAGACGAATGGAGCCCACAGTGCCAGAACCTGTGCCTGTGGATGGCTTCGGCTCCGTCAGAGACGTCTCAGCATATCCGCTCGTCAGGTTGGAGGGCAGCATGGATATATCGCCGTGGCTGCTAGCTGGCGATGAGTTGTCTGTTCTCCCTGGGCGCCGCAGCATGTTCCATGCGTCTTCACCATCGCCAAGCTGCTGCCAACCCTCGACGTCTCCAATAACGACATCCGCATGTGGGGCATGCGGAAGGGCGATTCTTGGATGAAAGAAGAGCGATCCTAGGTACTGGCACTTTAGTTTTGACGAATCTTCTGGTTGCTTCCAGAGCCTGACCAGGATGCCTCGACCGACGGACTCGGCCGTCGACTCGGCCAAAAGAATACACATCCGCTTATCAGCCAAGGCAGCCTGCATCGCCCTCTCAACAAGGGGATGAGACAACCCCCAGACGTAAGTGTCGACAGGGATGGCATCGAGGTGGATGAGTTTCCAGGAGCCCCTGAGCTCTCCTTGGTTGGTGACCCGCAGCATGGAGCGACCTTCTCCCCGAGCCCGGGGAAACTGGAAAAGGCTCGTGGGGCACCAGCTGAAGCTGCCTGACATGGTAGTGTGCTTGTGGAAGAGGTGCCCGGGAGAGAGCTGGCCAATTCTGAGCAGGATGGCCTGGTAGATGGCTCTTTGGGAGCCCGACGCAGTGCTGACGCCGCTCAGGAGACCCGCAATGACGGCCATGTCTCTAGTCCATGAGGTGTGTCGCGAACCGAGGACGTCGAGGAGATCATCAAGCTGCTCGATTGGTCTCCGAAGCGCCCTGATGGAGTTCGCCGCGGGATTGTCGTTTTCGACCACGTCCAGGATATCGGCGTCGAGGTCCACGATTTTGTCTTCCGCAAACACGATTTTGACGCTGGGGGACCTTGCTAGTTCCAGGGCAGTCCAGCCCCGACTGAACCAGGGGGACATGATGATGGCGAAGCAAGCAGCGTTCGGGTCCTCGGTCCATGGCAGTCTCCTCAGGAAGCAGTCATGCACCAGCGTCACCGTCGCATTCTGGTAATTGATGTCCATGTTGTTGACAGCGGCGGACCGGGCGTCCTTGGAATTGGGCAGGCACACGGCATCCCACCAAATGCCCTCGCACTGAAAGCTGAGGGCGATCTGCTCAAAGTACTGGAACAAGCAGGCATTGACCTCGCCGGCAGGCCAGCCGCCCATGCCGGTCCCATCCGACCAGACGTGGGAGATGGCCATGAAGGGCTGTGCAGGGCCGACGATGGACATTCCATCCAGGGCCCAGGCAGTGGGACGTGATTCGGCTAGGGACAGCACCTTGACCAGCACCCGCTCGTCGAACAGGCCTTGGAGACGGTAGCACGGTTCCAAGCAGTAGAGCGGCTCATGACGTTGCTTGACGTTGGTGAAGTTGAGGGCCGAGCGCTCGCAAAATTCAACTGTGCAAGCCATGTGCTCTTGGGCATCAATGGCTCGGCCAATGTACTTGCCATACTGTTGGAGCAGCCGCGGGAGCTGGGTCTCCCAGTCGTCAAAGCGTGAGCCGATTCCCCATACCCGGTTCGGACATATGTGACAAGCAGTTGAGCCGTACTCAATGGCGTCGAGTAGCTCCATGGAAGCGTATGGCGTCTGTTGGTGAGGGGAATTCTTGATGCAAGCGGGGACGATCCGCCTTGCTCGGTCGACTCTCAAGGGATCCTACACAGCGCAAGGCTATGCGTGCATGCTGCTGACAACTAGCAGCCTGCACGGGATATTGGTCTTTGATCGCCAAGCCTCGAGGCACAGATATTCAACTTATATCAGAGATAGCTATATATAGATCTGCGACAGTAACATAGCTAATCAGAGTTATTTATTCTATATATAGTTGATGTACCCATAGAATAATCTAGGACCCGAATATAAATAGAACTATAATAGCTAAATAGTAAGCCAAGTCTTTTTGATATATAATAACTCTTTAAGAGAAATCAGTCTATACTCTTAATTATTCTATAATAGAGTTACTTATAGGATCTATATTACTTTAAACCTTGTAATAGTATAATAAAGATAACGCTTATAGACTTCTTTTTTCTTCTTTTTTCATTTAATTCTTGGCCTTACCCGTGCTATACCCCGCTTATAGCAGTCTATTAGCACTACTAGCTTTAAGCTAGTAACATTACTCTAGCCGGGGCAGTAGAATAACCACTTGCTTATTAACCTTTTAAAATTCAAGGGAAACCCAGTACTCGTTAAGTGGTATATCGAAGAGTAATGCAACACAGCTAAATTGAAATCTCTATATAAATCGGATCACTTTTCGGGGTCAATAAGCGAGTGGTTGTTCTGCTGTCCTGGCTGGAGTAATGTCACTAGCTTATAGCTGGTAGTGCCAACGGACTGCTACAAGTGGGGTGTGGCACGTGTACTTAGTAAGGCACTTTCGTTAGGACTACCTACCTTATAGGCAGTTAACCTAACAGCTTTAGTACCTTTCCACCCCACTCTGCGCCACCCTGCCCCATAATAATAAGCCTTAGGTCAGCCACGGTATTGGATATCAGTTTATCTGCAACCTACATCATCCATTTGACAATGGTCGCACCCACTATGGCCGTCTGTCGGTTGGCTCGTGACGTCGCCTGCCAGTCCTTCGGCACGGCCTTTCAGGCGTGCGTCCATCGAAGGGACATAGGACGAAATAGAGCGCCTGCCTGTCTATCTGCCTAACTTTCTCATTGCCTACCTTCTGCCTGGGTTCTTTATAAATAAGACCCGAGGCTGTTCCTCAGGTTCGTGAGGGGCGTCAGTCGCGGCGCTCACAATCTGGACACACGGCATGGTGACCCTTGACTTCAACGCGCTGCTCCGGACGGAGGATTGGATCGAAGAGCTCGGCAGTCTGCTTCCCCTCTCCGCCCTGCTCGACTTCCTTGATGCATCCCGCGTCTTACACATCTACCAGCTCACCGGCGCGACGGCCTGGTGGTGCTGGCCCATTACCCCGGCCGGCTTCCGGATGCTCCTCTCGCGCCGAGCGACCGACGAGACCTGTCTGCTCGACGACTTCGATGCGAGCACGACGCCCGTGTGTCTCGATGGCCGCTATGGCGATAAGTACCCCCTCGCCAACCCCGAGACCCTGCGCCTGTGCCTGGGCGCCGCGAAGCCGCACCCCGTCCCGAATACGCACAAGAACATGCTCCGCAGAGACGTCCGCCCGCACACCGTCGATCTCGTGCACGTCACGCGCCGCCCCTCGCATCAGGACAAGCCGCCGTTGTTCTTCTCGAACAATCTCTTTGCTTTCTTCTCTCGCCTCGCGGGCTGGATCGTCTGGGGCCTTCTGATGGCCTTCTCGGTCGTTTCCGCCAGCTGGCTTCTTCTGACCTTCCTCCTGCTGGTCACCGCGACCGGCTGCGTTGTGGCCAATCTCTTTCCCCCCGGCCCGCGAAGCCTCCGCGTCGACCACGGCAGCGAGTACAATCGCCTCGTTCTCTCGGCGCAGCACATGAACGCCACGCACTGGACCATCTATTACGGCGAGAGCAGCGTGGTCAATTCGCTTCTCAACTGGCCGCTGCGGCTGGAAAGCGCGCCCGAACCAATAGCAGCCGAGCGACAGGAATCGCGGGCCGTCTGGTTAAGGTGGCTCCTGCGCGTGCTTATTCTCGGCCAGTGGGCCATGACCGTCGGCGCCGCGGCGCTCAAGGACTGGAACGCATACGGCATCAGCTTTTGGATCTTCTTCTGCATCTTCATGAACGCCTGGAGCTTCGCTACCGAGCACAGCGTCGGCATCTGGTTGCGGCATGCCGCCGTCGGCCTAGAGAGGTATACGGTGCAAGTGAGCTCGCGCCGGGCACTGCTCAATCTGGTGCTGGCGCTGAACCCGGACACGTTTGCACTGGACGCGCGAACCCAGAAGACAGAGGTGAGTCGCTTCTCGCCTGGGGCGGTGTTGTGGATGGACGACATTCTCAAGGCGGGGGAGTCTCGTTCTGCCTGGGAGGACGCCTCCCGGTTGGCCATGATTGGTGCGATGGAAGCCAATGGCACAGAAACGGGCATCGGCGACGATATAGGCGGCACACAAAAGGACAAGTGTATGGCTGCTGCCGAAGCAGCGCTCGAGGGGTATTCTCGGATGTACTGGTTCGACTTCATCGGCGAAGGCATTCAAGTCGCACAAGGATTGACAGGGGCTGCAGGGCTTGGAGGAAGGCTGGCCACCAAATCGCCATCCTCCAGGCAACAATAGTTACACAGTATGCAGCCCTTCAGTTGAGATCCTCGAATATCGCTATTACCGCCTGCTTGACCATGTCTACACGATTATGACAAGACCAGATCGAAACAGAATCTTCAGCACGAGAGAGAACGGGATTGTAGGGCGAGTGAGTGACCTGATGGGAAGGTTTTATAGCAGAAACAAGCGTAGAAGCAGGGCCGTACTATATATAGATTGCTCTATGAGGGTTATCTCATTACTTGTCGAATTGCCGTTACGAACATATGTTCCTCGTCTCCCAATGCTCTTCTCTGCTTACGAAGTTGAATTGGACCAAGCGTTTCGTTCCCGACTCTCAACCCCGCACCATCACCAACTCAACATCGAGCTACTTCTTTCCCGTAGGGCATCCCTAGTCCATGTCTTGTAAGTCTTCCTATGAGTCGGAGAGTTCTTCGGAACTGGAATCTTGCCTTTACGTTGTCATTCTAGTATCCAGGCCCCTCTCGCCGGAGACCGACACAGTCTTATATGGTCTTGGGGTTGCATCCCCATCCCCAACCGATTCATAGTTTTATGAAACCGAAAACCCAATACTCATTCCAACTATTTCTGACACAATATGCGTTGCGTCGCACCTAGCGGTTGGTGTACTCGATGTCAACGGTTGGGAGAATAGAAACGTCACAATGCTTGAGAAGCTGCAGAAGACTCGGTACTGGGAGCACCTTGGGCTGGGTGGATCGAGTACCAGCTCCGGTCCGTCTTCTAGCGTCTCCGAGAACGGGGAGACTGTGTACCTAGACTGCCCGTTTCGTTGCAGTCAGGTGATATAACGGAAACTTCCCGTATATATACGGTTACTTCCTGATTAAGTTACTAAGCCTTAGAAGGCCAGTTTTCTAAAATTAGAGTAAAAGGATATATAGAGAGGCGTAACTATATATAGCTTTAGAGACTAGGGCTGCCGAAAGTGGAGGCATAGGACTCCAGACATAGCAGCATGCTTGCTATAAGTCAGAACTGACGGGATCCCGAGTTTTCCAGTGGGTATAGTCGTATATACTAGCATCTTAAGATAAATACCTTATATACCCCTGAAAAGGACGAATATAGTATAATTCAAACAGCAAAGATATACAGCCCGCGTTTCTTTCAATCCACCAGAAACTCCTCCAACTCGACCTTCCCCCTCTTAATGTCTGCCGCTAGGTCTCCTTGGTAATGCATAATGTCGTGAACGTAAGCCTGTCCGCGCACCTTCCACGTGCTCCCGTAATGTTTCGCCTTATCTTCAATATCAACGATTTGCCTCCACCTCTTCCAGTTCCTCCGGTGAAGCACAATCGGCACGTCGCAGCCCAGCAGGACCACGACTCGATCCCCTATCCCCAAGGTGTGTGTACCCAGTCCAAACCCCTTCCCGCCGCCCAGGACGAACATCCTCCGGCCCTCACACGCGTGGTCCCGCGCCCTGGCGTATCTCTCAGCCTGTTCGTGGGGCTCACTGTCAAGGTGCCGGCGGATTTTGTAGCCCTTGGAGGTAGCAGTACCGTCGTCAGTTTCAGCATACCACCAGTATTTCCAGTCCCAAACCCGCTGAGAGCAGTCCCTGGTGTTCCACGCTCTCCAATCCAGGGGCTCCTCGGTCCAGGCGCCGCCGGTGATCGTCAACGCGAATTTGCGCGCCATGTCGCCCTGCTCCTCTTCCCACGGTCCACCGACAAGCGACTCCCACTTCTCGAAGAGCTGCACATAGTTGGGCCGGCCCCATGAGGCTGAGAACACAGAATCACCCACCGCGACGACCTCTCCGTACGTGAAGCCCTGGACGGAAATGACAGAAGGGGCCTGGAGATCGGTTTGGATCCGTGCCGGGAGGCCGTCGGCGGCCGAGAACACGGTGCCCTGCAGGGGGTAGTACCCGCCATCGTCCAGCCCTCCCGACCAAAAGAGCTGCTGGTCCTCCAGGATGTCGTTGGGGTCTCGAAAGTGTTGCGACCAGTTGAAGCACCAACTGGCATCCATCAAGTTGGTGTCCCGCTGGGCCATCGCGAGCGGGAGGAGGGTCTTGTGGTGCGACATGGTCTCCTTCGAAATGGCCATCCACAGCGCTTTTGGTTTTTGGCGGTAGTCGATGGTGAATGTACCACCGGGAATCGAGGACGAGGGCGACTTTAACAGTCCGATGAACGCGTACAGCTTGTCGGGCTTCTCGCTGACGAGACGGTGGCGGAAGGCGTAGGCTAGACCAAAGAGGCCGCTGGGTGGATCTTCCGGCTTCTCTCGCAAGGCGAAGGTTTGATTCAGGTAGCTGTACAGGCCGTAGGTGACGTTCACATACTTTCGAGTCACGTCGTGAATGAGGACTTCGGCCAGGTCGAAGAAAGGGGTCGTATAAGGGCCGCAATATAGGATAGCGTCGCGCGCAAGGACGACCTCCTGGACCGTCCAAGCGCGGCTCCAGTACTGTCCGGATGTCACCTAGCTGGCTCTTGATGCCGGACAAAGGATGACTGGGGGACTCACAGGCCGTTGGATGATCTCGTCGAGGCATTCCACCCATGACCCCTCCTCCGGTTCATCTTCTTTCCAGATCTCTTCAATCTCCTCGGACGACGCATCAACAGCCTCCTTGGACGAACCATCAATGCACTTGTATAGTCTCTCTACCTGTTGGAAGGCGAGTTCTGTGACGGGTTTTGCGGGACCCACCCAAACTAGAACTCGCTCGGCAGCACGGTAGATGTGGCCCATCTTCTGGACTTGAGCGGCCCTTTCATCGGCATCCAGTTGATTGATACATATCGCATCGACCTGCGGTAAGTGACACCGTGTCAGTGGCAGCGATGATATATCATACTACCATTATGTCGATCCATACCCATATCGTCCGGACGCGATCTGGCAGGCAAAGCTGCTCCAGGGCGACACCCAAATCCTTGGTCACGCTAAAGGGTTCCCCGTGCAGCAAAATGCTTGAGCGATGTTTGTGGTTCCCCCAGCTGTAGCTGAGGGCTTCGTACTCGCACGTGTCCCACACCGCTGCTTCGAGCTTGCACACAACAGGACTTCTTCCGAAGCTGTTGGATGGGGCGATCCTGAGGACTCGGAAACTGTTCGTGTTCCCATCTAGGGGTTCGTACTCGAGGGTAGCCATGGCGAGAGTACAATACCCGCCAAGTTTAGGGCGTGGGTTGTAGGTTACCAAGGAGCTAGCGTAAAAGCCGGGTGGGTAGCGGTGGGTTTCTAGCAAAGGACTCCAATTTTAAGCGCGGTTTTATTTTGGACTACCTGTAAGGTACGTTAGTAGTGCTGTCGAACTTGATGGGCGGGTTACGTAACCCGTCCTGGAACGGCGTTACTATATCTAGCTTTCTACCCTCTTAATAAAGAAACAACAATCCTACAACGCGTATATCGTTGTTTTCAAACTCAAAAATATACCTACTTAAGACGGTCCCCACTTCCCCGCCACGTCTAAAATAAACTTCGGCCAACGTCGGCCTGGCATGAGCCTGCAATAGCTCGATGACTAAGGTAATTTCTTTCGTGGTACGCCAAAAGGGAATTCCAGCGCTTACCTTAGATTCAACGTGACAGGAGAGACCACGTTGTGGACCTGTGCCCATACGACACCCACCCTATCGTGTAGAGTCCACCGTACCTACTTTCTAACCATGTCGACAACGGAAGAGCTCAAGCGTCTGCTGGAGCAGGCCAAAGCGCAGGCGGAGAAGGCAGAGTCGCGAATTCAGCATGCCGAAGCGCGAATTCAGCATGCCGAAGCGCGGGCGCAGAAGGCAGAGTCGCTCACCCGCAACACAACGATCCAAGAATATCTACAAGCCTGCCATGAACACGTCTTGTCTAAGATTGTTCTTGATACCCGTGGCTACGTCACCTCTAAAGTTCCCACCACCGATCCCACCGGCAAGCACTGTCCGGATCTCCTTACGCCTTGGAAGGAGTTCCGCGACACGCAAGCCGATATCATCGAGAAGCTGCGTCTTATCCTCCCCTCCGACGAGCGACTGTTCGAAAACATCGCCTCTCTGAAGACCATCGGCGAGAGAATCAATAAGCGACATGTAAGAAACGAGCCTTCACTCGTCTTCATCGAGAACAATTGCGTCGAGGACCCTGTCCGCATCATCTTGGACCAACTCAAACGCTTCCAGCCAGGACAGCATGGTCTTTCTGTATATGACGGGGTTATCTTCGAGACGACTGCCAACAATCTCCGCGACGAGACGGATGGCAGAGACACGACGAAACGCGACGAGAAGCTCCGCACAGATCAGATCTGTGTGCTTCGAAATACGGACGGCCAAAGTGAGATTGCCTACGTCATTGAATACAAGGCGCCTCACAAGCTCCACACGTCACACCTTGACCTGGGTCTGCGTCCGATGAGCATTTTCGACCAAGTCGTCAACAAGCCTACCGTACCTACAGACGCGATGCCCGAGAATGACAGAATGCAGCACTATGCAGAGCTTCTCTCGACCGCGGCGGTGACGCAGACATACCATTATATGTTGGAGGCCGGACTAGAATACGGCTACTTGGCGAATGGCGACTCGTTCGTGTTTCTCAAGATTGACTGGGACAACCCAAAGGAGTTGTTTTATCATCTGGCCTATCCTGCATATGAGGTCGAAGCCAATCACGATCTCGTCTGGAGCAACGCTGTCTGCCAGGTACTTGCATTTACTCTTCTCGCCCTCCAGACAACCCAGCACGACAACGATGAGCGGAATGCGGCGACAACAACCAGTAAGAAGTGGAGGGTTGATTTCGAGGCCATGGTTGACCGGATTATAAGGATGGAGGAGGAAGAAGAGGCCAAGGCCCACGGGCCGAGTACGCCAACTAATAAGAGACACCGGCGTGTGCCAAGCAGCCCTGACTGGAAACCGGGGCGGGGGAAGAAGGCTCGAACCAACCCAGATGCCGACACCTGCCAAGGTCCAGGCCCCGTTCTTCGATCCCACAGCAGACGCGAGGGCGGCGGCGAGGGAGGTTCCAGCGGCGGCGGCTCAAGTCAAGGCGGCGCCGGCGGTGCCTCCACGTCGTCACGGCCAGCGCCTGTCTCGGGAAGCGGCGGCTCATCGTCTACAACAACCCCGAAAACGGGCAGCGGTGGTCGTACTCGATCCGAGCAACAACCCCGGGCGTACTGTACCCCATCCTGCCTCCTTTCCTTAGTGAATGGCGGGCCGTTGGATGACAAGTGTCCGAACGTATCGTTCCACAAGAAGGGCGGAACGCAGGGACACCACCCCGTCTCACACGCGAGGTGGACGGAGCTCCTTCGCCAGCAGCTCTCCAAAACCTTGGTGAAGGGTGTTGTGGCTCTCAACCAGCAAGGTGGATGCGGGGTCTTGTTTCAACTCACTCTACTGGAGTATGGCTACACCTTCGTGGCCAAGGGCGTCACCGGGCGTCGTGTGCCTGACCTGCAGAAGGAAGAAACCGTCTACCGCAAGCTGCAGCCTCTGCAAGGCCGCTACATCCCCGTGTGCCTGGGCTCCGTTAACCTCCGACTGCTGCAACAGACGCTGTTCTACGACATCGACGTGCGCCTCATTTACTTCCTCCTTTTGTCCTACGGAGGCGCAAAGCTCGCAAAGCCTGTCGACGACCCCAAGGCGCAGGCGCGCATCGTCAACACCGTCACCGCTGCGGTTCGCGAAATGCACAGCCTAGGCGTGGCCCATGGAGACATCCGATTGCCGAACGTGCTGCAAGGTCCCGGTGAGCAGGTGACCATTGTCGATTTTGACCAAGCTTTGCTTTTCCCCACAGGCCGCGGTGCCATGAGTGCGATCTCGCATAATAAGCGGAGGCGGCTGATGGAGACCGATGAGACCCCGCTTTCCAAGTCGGCCGAGGTTTGGTTATATAATGTCAAGACTGAGGACATGTCGAATGCGGAGTGCCTCTTTACGTTCGATGCGGCTGCTGGGAGGAGAATTTGACCACCGGCTAGACAAAGCTACTGCAGTCGGCGCCGGAAACAGGGATCCATCCATACAATCCACACAGCTGATCCTACAGCAGCTAGAAGATCGCCGACCTTGAACACCTGCCCCGGCCTCGCCTCCTTTACGTGGCAGTGACAGGTGTCCGAACCCGACAACGCCAGTGACCCTTGGTCAGATGCATCGTTCTGCCCGTACAATTACACGCATTGTAAATGACGAGGCGGAATTGGATCTTGCCCCGCAGCGTAAAGTGACAAGCTTCATGAAAGGCTCGTTGTCACTTGCGTCGGAGCTGACCCAAGTAAAGACGGGCCTCGCGTAAACTAAATACGCAGAACTTGTTGTATACTAACGCAGGGCTAATAGGAACCTTCAGCTATAGAATGCAGGCGTCGTGATAGTATAGGAGGCGCGCGCAGGATGGCTAGACAGCGCGTTGACGACGAGGTGCTATGGCGGAACGTGTAGTGGAGGCCGCCCGTTTATAGAAGTAGGGCGGCGTTCAAAACGTGATTTGCAGTAGCTGCAAAACAGGCCGGGCCTTAGAGGGGGGTGGGCGATTAGGTAAGCTATATACTATGTTTGTAAGTATTCCTTGGGTTGTGTTGTCGCGATAGTTCTGAATAGCTTCACATTAAGGAAGAAGTGGCTAAAATATTGTGTAGGATCTGCGTGATGAGCCTGATCACTGTATAGTGGGGTTGTGTGCTCGAATCTGAGATGTAATACCTAGGCCTCGCCGGGCGTCTGATTCTGCAGCTGGCTCGCAAGGTTGCTCGAGAGACGATGTCACTTGACCACCCAGAAAGGCGTGATTACGTACGTACTGCCTCACGCCGAGGCCGAGGCCGACGATTACCGGTCTCTCCGAGCCCCTCCAAGCGACGAAACACGAAACACGGCCTAGGTTGGACCTGCACTTAGGGGAAGAGCGGCTCGGAGCACCTGCACTTTGGGGTCATCATCTCAGAGCCGCTCGGATCCGCTACTGGCCTGGGCGGGGCGCTGGGACGATGCGGCTTATCGGGCTTATCGGGGCTCGGCAGTCCTCTAAGTGCAGGTGGTACCGGGAGGAGGGAGAAGGGGGGTCCACATGCCCCTCCATCGCATTCAGTCGTTCAGAATGTTGGTGTCTTTTTCTTTTTCTTTTTTTTTTCCTGGCCTAGTAATTGGGAGATAGCTTGGTAGCTCCGGAGGGAAAGGCGCGAGGGGATTGGAAAAGAAGATAAAACGGAGTCAGAAACAAGGAAGGGAAGAATGAAGAACGAGGCCTGCTACTGAAACCACCGAAAAGCCGAAGCCAGCCTTTAAACCAAGTCTTTTATCATTTGGCCTTTTTCATCTTCTCTTTTCATCCTTTCATCTTCTTTTCCTGTACTAACCACCTACTGTCCTCTTCTCCCTTTTCTCTTCGTCCTCTTTTTTTTATTCGTTCATCCTACTATTCTGGGCCAGCGATTCCTCATCCTTTCCTCAACGTCCCCTTTCTAAGACCAGAATCTCCGCCACTACCCACCTCTACCCGCCCAAGATCCTGTTTCCTACACAAATCATGTCCAACATGTGCACCTCCATGATCAAGTCCAAGTTCCTCAGCAACCCGGAGGACATTGGCATCGTTGCTGTCGGCTTCTCGGGCGGCCAGGTACGTCGTCAACTTCTACCCATTGCGACATCGACATCGAAACAATATCGCCAAACCCACACCTAATCCGACCAAAGCTAACGTACGTACCTCCACCAGTGCAAACCGGGCGTAGATGCGGCCCCCAAAGCCCTCATCGAGTCGGGTCTCCTCACCCAGCTCCGCGAAGAGCTCGGCTACAAACTGCACGGCGACGACGAGGTACACCTCTACAGCGACCTAGCCCCGGCCGAGGACCCTCCGCACCGCAACATGAAGAACCCGCGCGCCGTGTCGGCCGTGACCGAGCGCATCGCCCAGCAAGTGCACCACCACGCCTCGCAGGGCCGCATGGTGCTCACGCTGGGCGGCGACCACAGCATCGCCATCGGCACGCTGGCCGGTTCGGCCAAGGCCACGCGGGAGCGGCTGGGCCGCGAGATGGCCGTTATCTGGGTCGATGCCCACGCCGACATCAACACGCCCGAGACGAGCGACAGCGGCAACATCCACGGCATGCCGGTGGCCTTCGCCACGGGGCTGGCGCGAGAGGAGAACCCGGACGGGCCTTTCGGCTGGCTACACAAGGACCACCTGGTGAGCACGTCGAAGTTGGTGTACATCGCGCTGCGCGACGTCGACGCGCCCGAGAAGCGCATCCTGCGCGAGAACGGCATCCGCGCCTTCAGCATGCACGACATTGACAGGCACGGCATCGGCCGCGTCATGGAGATGGCGCTCGCGCATATCGGGAACGATACACCCATCCACCTCAGTTTTGATGTCGATGCCCTTGACCCCCTGTGGGCGCCCTCGACGGGGACGCCGGTCCGCGGCGGCTTGACGCTGCGCGAGGGCGACTACATTTGCGAGTGCGTGCATGAGACGGGGAGCTTGGTGGCTGTCGACTTGGTTGAGGTTAACCCGACCCTGGCGGACGAGAGGGATGTCGGCGCCCATGAGACGGTGCGCGCCGGGTGCTCCATAGTGCGGTGTGCGCTGGGCGAGTCGCTGCTGTAGAGGGGCGCAATGAGGTTGTGGTCGACAAATGTAGAGAAGAGTGACAGGCTCACGCACTGCTGGGCTGGAATAAGACGCAGGGTATGATTTTGATTGTTCCTTATTATTTCCATTTCCGCCAGAGAATAGATACTTTTTTCTTCTTTTTTCCCCCTAACTGCCTGGAATTGGAACATTTCAGATGGGTTGGCGGTCAAGCGCAGAGATTGGATCGCTGTGAGACTTAAAAACATGAATTGACAGCACAGCACGAGCACGGTATACAGCAGAGGAACAGGGGGTGGAGCAATCCCCCGAGCTCTTCTCTCTGCCGAGACCCTCCTCAGGCACCCACCATCGGACCATACCCAATATGCGTTGGCGTGCCCAGACTTCATCGACCGCCCCAACCATCTGCTTTTTCGCTGTTTTCCTTGTGCCTCGCCTCGCCTCGCCTCGCCTCGCATCGCATCGCCGTTTTTGGGGTTCCCTAGGCTCTCTTTATATGACCACAAATCGACTGGGTACCTTATCTGTCTACCTTACCTAGACGACTCCTCTCACCTCAACTTACCTCCGAGAATCGCTCCCGTCTTCGTCTACCTTTCCCCTCCCCCCCACGCAAATACCTACAACAATCACTACGAATACTGATGCTGCAATCGCGTTTGAGTCATTTCGCGCCGCCCCGCGTCTCCCGTCCGTAAACCTCTCCCCCCGTCGATTTCGGTCGATTTCGACGATCCACCCATTCCATTCCCCTGGAACGCACGGCTCCATCCCAGGCCCCCGTCCTCCTCCCCGACGACAAAAACGAACCACATCACGACCCTCACCACCAGACCGCCGCGCCCCCTTGACCGACTTTGTCTACAACGTATCCCTTCACCTGCAAAACAACTCGACCCTTCCGCCGCCGTCCCGGCCATCATGAACTGACAACACAACCCGACACCGATCCCCGTCGCAGTCCCACCACACGGACGCTTCCGCTCAGCCGCCCCGCCGATTGGACTTTGGAAGCTTTCCAGAGCGGGTCGCAGCGCAGCGCGCAGGGTGCATTGCATCGCCTACTGCACACTGAACACCTAGCTATTCGTGCGTTCGTACGTTCGTTCGTACGTACCTACGTTGTACCTCCCTCGTCCGCTGCAGTAGGGACGTGGCCGGCCGACGAGACCCGAGCCAAGAGGAGACACGACCAATCTGTTGTTGTGTCTTGGTGGTTTTTGTGCTCCGCCTTGCATTGGGTCCCAACGAAGAAAGATCCACGACAGCCTCACTCGATTTGATGTCCTTCTTCCCCGCTGTGTGTCGCCCACCAGAAATCCAGAAATCTACATACTTTTTTCAATCCATCCGTATTTGAGAACTACGCTCGCTTCTTTTCCCTCCTTCTTTTTTGGCTGTTCTCCCTCTCTCTGTCTCTCTCTCTCTTTATTTTCATCCCCTGCATTGGGTTTCGAAGCCTCTCGACTGCGAGCCCGCTCGGGTGGCCTTCGACCTGGGGCCCCCATCGACATTAAACGTCGACATTGACGACACGACGCGACGCAACGCAACGGCTTGCTACGATCGAATAGCAGAATCGACGACTTTGGTTACCGAGAAGAACAAGGGAAAAAACAGAAGAAGAAAAAAGTCCCCCAGGGACTTAACGGTCCTCGCCTCGCCCTTTTGGAGTCTTGTGCTCCCCGTTCCTCTACCACCGCCGCCACCACCGCCACCACCGCCCTTCGCTACCTCATATCCACAACCTCATCATGGCATCCACAGTAGCGGAATCCGTTCTCTACGAGCGGAGGCCCGTAAAGACACACCGCTACCAATGGCCGGGCGTCCAGCTCAACATTTGGATCCTCATCATGCTAGTCGCGTCCTGCTTCTTGATCGGGTCCTTTGCCATATTCATCCAGGTCCAGGAGCAGCTCCTCCTTCCGATACCATGGTTCGTCTGCCCTTTCGCTCTTGCGTAAAGAAAGAAAAAGAAAAAAGAAAGAAGAAAAAAAGAAGAAGAAAAATCCTACTAACGCCATCGCAGGTACTTCCCCTACCTCGTCACCGTCGCCTCCCTCACGCTCGCCTACATCCTCCTCCTCCTCTACCTCATCTTCAACCGCCGCCTCCTCCCCGCCATCGTCATGATCGGCGCCTTCGTCCTCTTCGTCCTCTGGATGGTCGGCCTCGTCGTCATCGCCGTGCAGCTCTTTGGGCCCACGGGCTCCGTGCAGGGGAGCTGCGACGTGGCCGTCTTCAGCTTCAACCCCACGGGGCCGAGCTTGCATACCTTGGCTTGGTTGCAGCAGCGGGCTGTCTGTGAGTAGAGAGCACACGATACATGATTGTTGTTTGCTTGTTGTTGGGGGGGTACTTTTGCTGACACGAACGTTCTGGCAGGCCAAACGTGGCAAGCCGCCTTTGCGTTCAGCATCGTGGGGGCGTTGTTCCTGGTCTGGATTATGGTTATGGCCTACCAGGTCTTTGTCACCGCGTAGTCTGGTCCGGTTCGGGAGATACTCGACACGAACAACTGCCCCCTTGAGGCTGTGGTCTTGAAGATGCATTTCCTTCTTGGGTATTTTATGCTTTTACCATTCATGATCGACGAGCGAACGGGTTTGCCATTTTGAACCTTTCTTCATCTTTAATTTGGATTGGATATTTCTGCGTCTCTCTCTCTCTCTCTTTTTTTTTCCTCCCCTTCTCATTTCCCCAGTTCTTGTATCGGCGAAGCGGCGGAAAAGTCCTTCTGCCGACATGGCGTTTGGAGTGTGATATACCAGGTTTCTCATTTCCCACAGGAGCGGTTTTAGGTCAGACAGATCGAATTTGTGTACAACACGATCACGGTGGGAATGGCAGTGATGATGAATAGGTAAGGAATTGGCCCTCAGCTATGTTCCCGGCATGGGGCTCAACTTGACAAGAGGTCGAGCCATCTGGAATTTCAACAGATGTTTAACTCGGAGATACCAAACTGAATACCCGATTCCGATTTCAATCTTACTGCATCTTACGTGCGTTTGCGTATCCCCTCTAACAGAGTACCTACGACCGTTTTCTCCTCTCCCCAGTCGCCCTCCGGAGAGAAGCATTTTCACTTCCGGGTTGAGCGGTGATGACAAGGACCCGAATGAGGACGACGCCATCCAGGCACGAGGCGACGAACAAGATAAAGATCGATACGATAGGTCGACTCCACTCCTGTCTGCACCAGGTCGGGAGCGAATACCCAGTAGCGAAGCTCCCGGCGAGCTCCCTGACTATCATTTCGACCGTGCAGTGCATCCCCTCCCTCGAACTTTCGTTCTCCTTTCCTCTCTTCTCCTGCGACGGGGGGGTTTTTTTTTTCATGCCCGATCTGCCAATTGATCTAGACCGTCCCCTCGACGATCAGCGCTAGTTCTGCCGGGACTAGATTCGAACGATTCCCCCAAGTTGGTCGGCTTGGTTGCAGTCCGGCTTGCCGGTCTTCCCTTTTAGGTTGCTTAGCTGCGCTTGTGGGATACATCGAGATGAGGCCCTGATTCGTGCAATGTGGGGGACCGGGGAGCTTACGTTGTAGCTGGAGAGCTTGGGGAGTCTTACGCGTAGATGGGGGCATCCTTTTTGCTCCATACCTTACGTCAACTTCACATGGGTATCTCTCTGTGTCCTTTTGCGGGGTTTCAGTAATAACACCAGGAGACGTCACCACGGAGTATATCTGCCTCTATGTACCCGTCCGTTTCCACTTGCTTCCCTCACACTGAACGCGTTCGAATCGTTACTGTACGTACTCTCCACTTGAATCCATGTCCTGCGCCAGTGGTCTTCTGCACGTATTGGTAACGGAGTAGTGGGCAGTTCGTACTGGCTGTCTGTGCAGATATCTTAAGGTATACAGCCGTGTACGGAGAAGGAAGATGAGGTACTTTGTTTCACTTTTCACTGACACCCACACGCACGGTTTCGGAGGACTGGGGAACCAGCAGTTCATGACGACACACCGAGGGAAAGGCGATGATCTGCGTCGAAAGGGGACTGGAAGACGCATATAAGACTTCTCCCTACCCCTCTCTTAACCTCCGGTCTCTACACATATATACGGGACGCAGAAAGCAGCCCACTTTCAATTTACTCTACATAACATTCTACGCACTTTATCCTGACCAATTGAATTGTCATCATCAACCGACAATGGACACTATCAAGAACACCATGAAGGGGGGTTCCGACTCCAGCAAGCAGCAGCAGTCGTCGTCCCAGAGCGCACAGAGCGGCCAGAAGGAAGACTATGGCGATAAGGGTATGTTGCCGCGACCCTTGTCCCCTCCGCTTTTGCTTGTGGGGAAATATATTCTCCGTTAACCAAGCATCCGTTTCGCAGCCTTCAGCGCCGCCTCTCAGAAGACGGGCCAGAACATCGACCGCGATACGCAGGAGAAGATGACGGATACGGGCCGTGACATGTTCGAGAAGGGCACCGGGTAAGCTTTTGCTTTTTTTTTTTTGTTTCTTTTTCTCTCTCGTTTCTCATCCTCACGCGACCCGGGGAGGTTGTTACCCGGCTGGCTACAAGGCGAGGTATTCAAAGGCGAGGACGCAACGGAGTTGGGCTAATGTTTTCGGGCGGTAGTAAAAATGTGCCGGAGAAATTCTCGAACTGAAGAGGACCGGGCCGAGCAGGAGATTAGGATGATGAGGAGGCAGTCGATCACGTCGGCTGGTTCGTGGGGTGTGCGATGACTTCGGTGGTGTTGTTATGGTCTAATGGGTGCCTTTGTTAAAACCACGTAACCAACCAAGTAACCATTCTTGGGAGTAAAGGAATCTGCAAGACAAGTTCTTGGTCAGTCTGTCATCTCTGTGATGTGGTTGGCGTGATGTAGACATCGACAGGACATAGCCCGGGCAGAAAGAGGACGATGAACTTAGTCGAGAGGAACGAAAAAGCAGTCGATTGAACTGATCGGACTGTTGTGTTAAAAAGTTAAGCCGTCCTTAGCATTGTAGTCAAGCATCTACTGGATGTCGCTGGGTTGTCATGGTGTTGAAGGTTACCTTATCGAAAGGCACATGTCCACGACGACGTTTGCGGCTCGACGGATGCGCATCCAGTCTAATTATTACATAAGCCCGCTCAGCTTCCGTACTCGTACCATGTTGGGCCAAACAAGAGGAGGAATAACTGGAAGAAGCACGGACCACGAGTCGCTGTCATGGCAACCTAGAAAAGAGGTAGGGGATTGGGGGGGACGTAATAGTGAGCAATAGTGAGGAGGGGGGCACTGTTTAGTGACTCAATGTTCGCCCGAGAGCCCCTTAGGTCCCCTGAGGTCCGGGCGTCCATCCGATGTGTTATAGCGTGTTATGGCGTACTACAGTACCTTAATGTACGGTACGAAAGCAGGTGCGACGGAGGGTCAAGGTAAGGACAGGACGGAAAGAACCGCCCACCCCACACACAGCCAACACCACCGAGGACCGAGCGCATGAAGCAGGAGCTGGAAGAAGGAAGGAGAACTCGGCAACTGAAGTCGCGAAACCCTCCAACCCTCAATAACCTTGATTTTGGCAACTAACTCTCTCGACGCTCGCTTTTTGTCTTCCCTTCTTTCCTGTCCCAACAAGAGGACACCGCAACTGGCGCCAATCTGGGTTGGGCTTAGGAATCAGAACAAGCCAAACGAGTCAGTCACCCGGAAAAATCGATACCCAAGCCCAACTTTTCTGCTGCTGCCTTTAGCACCACCGTCTTGACAACAACAGCAACAACAACAAGACAAAGGCAACGACAACGACAGCACAA